ACTCACTCACTCCAGGTCCAGCCAGGATGTGCAGGTGAGGGTTCCAAAGCCAGAAAATGCCTGGTCTGTCCACACCACTCTTTTAGGGCGGGTTTTTCAAAGAGTGCTGAAGATAGCCATAGTATTGAGATCATTTTTGGAAAGACATTTTGCTGTTCATTCCTCAAGGTTCCACTAGACTAAATCAGAATCACATGCTCCCTGAGCGAGTAGTGTATGTAAACATCTGAAGAGAAAGAGATATGATAGATTTTTAGTTTTTTTAAAAGCATCTCCATCCAGTAATTAAAACTGACCACAATTTTAAGTATTTAGTGCTATCATTTTTATCACCTTATGACCTTGACTTGTGCCTATTGTGTGTACAGATATTTTCAAGTAGGTGACATTTGGTGTGCAACTGGGGTTGATGTGTTCAGCTTCCTGTGCTCAGGACAATTGGCAGGCTATGTTAGCCAGAATATGTGTTTTATTGTAGTTTAAAGGCCAGACTGTACCTATGTGCACATGGAATGGCTGTTGACAGCCTGGATGATTTAAAAAAACACCTAATGTTATTATAGAAGTCTATGGGAAAACATTTGATGTTGTATAACCTCAAAATACTTAACATTAGCTTAGGCTTGTCTTGGCTAAGAGATTTGGGGATCATGCCCTCCAAATACTTTCAACATAGCAGATGCACATCACCAGACACTATGTACAAGAAAATAAGATCTTTATTCAAATAAATACAAAATAAATACTAAATCTGCAAGAAACATCTTACGAATCCCCCCTTCATTAGTAGGTACTTATATGTACATGTTAATTCAAAGCATCGCAGTGCTGAGGCATCCTGCTCGACAACCTACACAGTTACTAGTCGGCTAAAAACCTTACCATCATCTACCATGATGGAAGACTTCCACCAAACAAGATTACACAAATGAATATGAAGTAATGACGTTCATGAGATAACATGCATCAGCAGACTGGATCCATCATGGCAAGTAGAATTCAGCAATTCGTACAATTTTCAACCGCAAGGATTAATTATAGGGTCTCCTGGATTCTGTTTACACAGTGGCGGTGTTAGCTGATGAGCTAGACTAACATCTAGTCTCTGAAATGAACATATTTTACAGATTTTTTTATTAAAAATAAGCATAAACTATAATGAAAGGAACCCAGAGAGACTGTCCATTTTCAACTGTGGAAATCTAGACTTGCCATATATTGTAGACTTGCATGGGCTTTCTTGGATATATTTGGTTCAGGTCTGAGTCACAGACCACTGATGAGCCTCCTCATTTCATATCTTTTCAGTTATATATTCAACAAATAAAATATTTTTGAAATACATAAAAATATATGTCTCTTTTTAGTGGTTCCATCTTTGATTGATTAGAAAAATATAAAGATATAACAATGAAAATCAAAAAGCAAGTAACATGTTAAATAATAATTGCTCAAATACTTGCTGCATATATGTTACGAGAGAACCAATTTTTGTCATGTACATACATCTAGTACATGTAATGTTACTTTTAAAATAATTAACAATCTGCACTTTCAAAAGTGTCAATTATCTTCCAACAACCACCAATCCATATTGCTTAAAGCAAACAAAATCCAATGTTTAGCCACATATTTCCTTTTTGACCTACCAAAACGATTTAATTTCAACTACCCAAAATTTGTAAAAGATACTTTTATTTTAAGTTGACCATTATATGATACTAGCATAGGATTCTGCCTGAATTTTTATTGCTATTATTTCTCACTGTTTTCATGTCAAACTGAGAAAACAGTATATGTTTAAAACAAACTTAAGATAAATAACAGGTCCCTGGGATTAATTCTTGGCGGTGCATCTGTAGGGGCAAAGCAGTAAATATTCTGAATATTGTGCATCTATATTAGTGCAAATATTATTATATATGAGACAATCCTGGTTAGGATTATTTTGGCAAAGTAAGGAACTAAGTATCTTCTCTGACAGAACACAGAGTGAGTGAGTGAATATGGTTTTACGCCGTTTTTAGCAATATTCCAGCAATATCACGGCGGGGGACACCAGAAATGGGCTTCACACATTGTGCACATGTGGGGAATCAAACCCGGGTCTTCGGCGTGACGAGCGAACGCTTTAACCACTAGGCTACCCCACCGGCCCTGACAGAACACAGAACCAGCAGCGGATGGAGGCACAATTTCTGATAATACTGAGATAGGATCCTGGGTGGCCCAGTGGAGTAAAATACAAATTGCTTTGCTGGGTTTTGTTCCTTACTCCTGCCAGGATGTTCAAGAATCCTAGATATTACCTGACATTTCTTGATTTGTCCATACCACTGATGTTTGTAGTAATGGCTGATCTTCACTGACCTAGTTTGTAATGGTTCAAGTTATTATTTCATAAATTCTAGATACACTAATAGTTTTTCCCATGTTTTTAAATGACATCTAAATCATCAGTCAGATTGTAGTTGACACTCATTTGGCACAGGATCTTTACCCAATTTGACTCGATCAAGATCAGCTGTTAACAAATCAACCATTGACTATTCCAGTTCATGTGATATTTGATATCAACACAAGGCTTGAATATAGACAACATAACACAAATGACACTCGTTAAAGCTTTGTAAAGGTACAAAACATATTAAAACAACACGTCTTTCTCACACCACCTGCTAAAAATACTAAAAATGATTAGCTCTTTTAATATAGTTAATAACACAACAGAATCAAACACAACAAGAGCATATGTCACACTGTAATAAATGTTATAAATGTCAGAGTTGAACTGTCTGATGCCTAGAGTTCTCTACATATTCAGATTCAGTTCACAGTCCAGTATTCACAATGCAAATGACAGCCCAAGCAAGTTTGATTCATAGTTTCAAACACTGCATGTTGAGTGCAAACTTGTATGTTAGATACGTTTATTTCACTAATACTGTAAGGCCGTGGGCCAGGGTGTATAATGTAGAGCTTACAGATTGGTTGTATATTTCACCATGATGAATTTCATACTAACATTTTGCATAATTCATGAACAATGTAACGTTATATTTTTCTTGTTGAAATGCTTGACATCTATCTATGTGTGCAAAATCTATATGTTCAACATCTGAATTGCATCAAAGATATCCTACATTTCCATATACTGACATCTGTAAGAAATGCATGTTTATATATATATATCACATACATACAATATATACAGTACATATCACATACCATGGTACACATCTTTTAAGTGGTAACATTCTTTGCATTGTGGTCTGACAAGTAAAAGAACAAAAAACAGTTCTTTTACCCGTGATATTTTTTCAAACTTGTTCCAAATATACATTACAAAAAAAAAAAAAAATCTTTAAGTTTTTTGTCATATACCAATAAAAAAATTAGTGATAATTCCTTAAATGAAGCCCTAACAATGTAATGTAATGTAAGTTTCCATAGGAATATATTTATTAATCAAACTGCTGATTTACATAATGTGTGAAGATATTAGTATATTACACCTAACAAAATATGTCTATGTCACCATAGGTGCAGTGGGGTAGCCTAGTGGGTAAAGCGTTGGCTCGTCACGCCGAAGACCCGGGTTCGATTCCCCACATGGGTACAATGTGTGAAGCCCATTTCTGATGTCCCCCGCCGTGATGTTGCTGGAATATTGCTAAAAGCGGCGTAAAACCAAACTCACTCACTCACTATGTCACCATAAAAAGTTGATTGCAAGGTTTACTCTTTATTGGCTTAATTTGGATGAAATCCTGATGCATATGATAAATCATCAGCTACACTCAAATATGTGTCAGTAACTTGAAGTAACAAGTGCAAACTGCTTTGCTTCTCTGACAAATTACTATTACTCACAATATTACAAGCCTGTGAAGATCTAGGATAGTGAGTGAGTATGGTTTTACGCTGCTTTTAGCAATATTCCAGCAATATCACAGCAGGGAACACCAGAAATGGCCTTCACACATTGTACTCATGTGGGGATTCGAACCCGTTTCTCAAGCGTGATGCGTGAATGCTTTAACCACTAGGCTACCCCACCGCCCCAATCATGGTTAGAATATGTCACACTGGAATATATTTTTTCTGTCAAACAACACTGGAGTTATAACTACAACAAAAACATCATTTGAAAAAAAGTTTTCTGGCTTTTTTGTTACAAAAAGCCCCGTCCATGAGGATCAGAAGATTTTAATCAAGGCCCTTACACTAACAAATTTCACTCTGGTGTCTATAAACATAAAATCATTTGACATTCAATGTACACTTGAAGTCTGATTTGTTTCCTACGACTTCTATCTTTGATGTATACCACGCAAACAAGTTGAGGACCATCCAATTGTTTCTTAGTTAATCTGTCACATCCCTAACTATTTTAAGCAGTATATGTGACAGTATTTAACTGAGGGACAGGAATGAAGATGACTGACAGTATGTATTTACACTTTGTGAAGGACCGAAGATATGAACATAACCAATAGTGAAGTCTTGTGTGGATACAGCGCCTGAAAAAGCACTGGTACAGGGTATAGGGTGTATACACTTTCTCCTCATAGCTCAATACAGCAATATCAGTGCCTGACAGGAGAGAGGAGCAGATAGTTGGTAATGTTATATCAGTTCTTGGCTACAGGTACAGATAAGCTGCGTATCTGTGTAAATTACGCAAATATTTACATGAAAACTCAATTCCTTTTAAGTCTATTGAGTATACAGGTACACTTGAATTTTTGTAAATACTCAATAAATCTCATCTAACACACGTGTAGACACAACATTGTCAAATCTTAACTTGCGTACCGGTGGATAAATAAAATAACTTAGGTGTATTTAGAGGTTCTATTTCAACACATGAACTTGACAACTTACAGTCTTTCTTATAGTTTCTCATATTACTAGTCAAATATAATACCAAACACATAAACCAACATTTAAACTTTATTATATTTTTACAGTTAATGGAAAATGGCAAAATACCCAACTGAGTTTGAGTGAGGTGGGTGCAATATATTTGGTTACTCAAAGGAAAATTAGGATACCGAACTGAGATGAACACAAGCGGTTACATAACTCAATGACCCAAAACGTTATCTGTAGCTCTGTCCTACCAGCGCATGACACATGAACTTTCTTCTAACCCTGCCTTGATGGTTGGTTGGTTGGTTGGTTGGTTGGTTGTTTAACACCGCATTCAGCAATATTCCAGCTATGTGGGCCTATATAAGATGAGTATATGGATGGCAACTTCTTGTTTATTGAATGTGACCTCACCCTTCTGAGTGCATAAAGAATGTGACCTCACCCTTCCAAGAGCATAAGGAATGAGATCTCACCCTTCTAAGGGGATAAGGAATGTGATCTCACCCTTTTAATAGCACAAAGAATGTGACCTCACCCTTCTAAGAGCATAAAGAATGTGACCTCACCCTTCTAAGAGCAGAAGGAATGTGATCTCACCCAGCTAAGAGCAGAAGGAATGTGATCTCACCCTGCTAAGAGCTTAAGGAACGTAACCTAACCCTGCTAAGAGGACAAGGATGTTACTTCACCGTTCTAAGAGCATAAGGAATGCGATCTCACCCAGCTAAGAGCAGAAGGAATGTGATCTCACCCTGCTAAGAGCTTAAGGAATGTAACCTCACCCTTCTAAGAGGACAAGGAATGTTACTTCACCGTTCTAAGAGCAGAAGGAATGTGATCTCACCCAGCTAAGAGCAGAAGGAATGTGATCTCACCCTGCTAAGAGCTTAAGGAATGTAACCTCACCTTTCTAAGAGGACAAGGAATGCTTTCTGTGCACCATCAGTGTCAACAGTTAATATCCACCAACACCAAATTGTTTGAAAAATTACATTTGATTCTTAATACCCCTTCTCTTTACTATGTACTTGAATTCTAAATATTTGAAATTTAATTTGATGAACATAGTCCATGACTTCATACAAGCGAGTGACATTATGCTGCTAGTGTTGTACAGTGGTTCATAGTGTGATTACACGTGAGGTGAAATATGCATCAATATATTTACAACTTTAACTTTTGGTTATCTTTGGTTTATTCTTGACTTTCCCCTCCTTAAAATATTTTGACTTCATAATATTTGAATTTGAAATTAACATCATACATACTCAACCACAAAAGAAATGCAAAGAAGTTGGATAATTATTTTTACTTGATACATTTAAATTAAATAAATATTGTTCATATCAGTATTAAGTTTTATAGCAGAAAGTATACCTGAAAACTACAGTTGACAGATTAAGTAAACAATTCTTCCTATTAGCATTAATTAGTTTCACACACCTTTGACCTGCCTCCTCTAACTGCACAGTTGCACCTGCTGACCCCCCTTCAGCAATGTCTTTGTCATTACCTCAGTAGAACTGAATAAGCATCAGTATTCATCATATTGTCATACTGTTGAATATTGTCATACCAGTGAATGTTGTCATACCAGTGAATATTGTCATACCAGTGAATATTGTCATACTGGTAAATATTGTCATACTGGTAAATATTGTCATACCGGTGAATAATGTCATACCAGTGAATATTGTCATACCGCTGAATAATGTCATACTGGTGAATATTGTCATACTGGTGAATATGGTCATACCGGTGAATCAACAACACCTACCACTGCGAGGAGTTTCTAAACTCACATACCATGGAGGAATGTATGTCTTTACTTACATAATAGACTGTCTGGGATCACTCTCCACTATACCCTGGATGCATCGAAGGCTTGGCCCAATGATTATATTACCTCCCTTTGCTGGCTTCGCATTCTCACAGTAGCCAATCAGCTAAGCCGCTGTTACATCCAAGCTTGCCAGTGTCAAAGATAGCGGTCGCAGTCGCGAAGGTTTGTTCGCAGTGCCACTCAAATTTTTGAGGAAATAATAGACAAATTGACAGATCTGAAACTTTCAAAAAATATATAAAAGAACTTCTTCTACCTCTTTCAGAGTACCTCTGCTGTGTTGCCAAGTTTAAACAGCTAGATAATTTAAGAAGCGAAAGTGAGTTGTGATTGGTTCGCTCAACTTTCCATCGTAGACACCTGATTGGATACAAAGCCAGCCAAAGGAGGTAATAAAAGCTTCCGTGATGCCGTGGATGCATCCAGGGTATAGTGGAGAGTGATCGTAACGTATACCCTGGAGATTATGGAGGATGACCAGTCTGAGACTGAAAGACAAGGATAAACTTAGCACACTAACGTTTTGGTTGAGTAGACGTTATGCATTTCAGTTGTACATCAGCTGCTGATAATGCTCACATGACCATGTAGCCTAGCGATAATTGTTCTTGGTGTTTCCGATCTGTTGTATCTCATCGCTGTTGATGTAGATGTTTTGGATGCTTTCCTGGTTCACATACAGACTCTCATTCATGGATGATCTGTCGGACATGGCGGACGAGATTTCCTGTTGAATTCGTACAAATGATGGCCGGTGTTCGTTTTCTGCATGCCAACAAGAGTTCATCAGCTCATATCTGCAACAAACAGTGTCAATCATCAGCAACATCAGCAGCAGCAGCAGCAGCATCATGAAGCCCATGATGTCTAGTTCCTTTCCAATAATAAAGCAGGAATATTGTTTAATCTTGAGTAACACCACAATGCTTCCCATAACCATCAAAAATCACCCCTAGGTAACCTAGTTGTCTAGGACCCGTGAAGGTCCAGGTTAGAATTGATCTTCAGTAACCCATGCTTGTCATAAGAGGCAACTAACGGGATTGGTAGGTCAGGCTCACTGACTGGGTTGACACATGTCATCGTATCCCAGTTGCTTAGATCGATGCTCATGATGTCAATCACTGGATTGTTTGGTCCAGACTCGATTATTTACAGACCGCTGCCATATAGCTGGAATATTGCTGAGTGCGGCGTAAACTAAACTCACTCACTCACCTAGTTGTCTTGGGTTCTCCACCCTGATGGCAGACCCTTACCTGTGTCTGGCTTCCCACACTAATTGCAATTCTTGATCTGCCAGCACCATATCCCTGGTTGCGGTTTTAACCAAAGTTGCAAAACCCTAATTCTGCATTTTCCTTCATTATTAAACAGATCCTGATACAGCAACTAGAATACAACCTTCTCCCTTCAGGCCGCTGATACAAAGTTCCAATTGTGAAAACTAAGAGAGCCCGTACATCCTTTATTCCAAGTACCATATCTCTCTTAAACAAATGTGAAGATATCTAAATCAAGAATTTATGTAAATATGTTTGGTATCTCTCTAATGTGTCAGTAGCTCTGCTGATGTAACACAAATTCCTGAAAAGGCATTAAAGTATTATTCTATTCTATTCTATTCTATTATTCTATTCTATTCTATTCTATTCTATTATTCTATTCTATTCTATTCTATTCTATTCTATTCTATTCTATCTATGTTCGTGACCACAGCCATTTCATCACCTCTATAGGATAAGACATCTCACCAGTGAGTTCAACCCCAGCCACATCATACCAAAAGCTGTTACAACACGGTACTTCCCTGTAGATCCCTGCACTTTGTGAGACCTTAGTACTTCCGGTGACAAACAACGCTTCATACCTTTTCAAATGGTCTCATGGTTGTTGGCCGTAAGGAACTGACTCCTTGCAGGAATAACAAATTTCCGATCTAACCATCCCCAAATTAGCCAACTATTACGACTATCAACAGCTTGACAGCCAAGAATGGTTGTACACTTGGTCTGGTCAAGTAAAGCCATACTTGGCGGTCACGTGATTTGAAACTAGAACTGATTCACTAGAAATCTGGAACCGGAAGTAAGATGGGCCCTGTCTCTCATATCGCAAGTTGGCGGGCGCAAAGGGAGCCGGGAACCAGCATAGTCCAGAAGTAGCATGCCCTATTATACTGCAGCATGCTTTCTCTGTTATGTGAGTACTATAACGCTCCACACTATTAACATGCATGCAGACACACTTGTAGAGAAAAGTCCATCAGAACAGAATGTTTAACATCACCATAAACCTTATTTCGCTCCAGCCACACAGGTTAAGCCTATTGGGCATGGTGGTCTTTGTAAAGCTGTTCAAACATTGAAATAAAATAGAATCTCTCAATCTATCTTGGAAATGTCAACGTTGGATTCCAGACACAAGTTTGTGGATGGCAGCTCTTACTCGAGCTATAACCACCTGTGTTGCATTACATGGACATTGAAAATTCTTGAAAGATGGCTTGTGTTTCGGACAATGTTATCCTTTACATGATGTTCCACTATGGGAAGTTCACCAGATTAGAAGTTGGCAACAAATTGTTTCTAATGTATTCAAAAACCCATAAGGAACCGTTCATAATTTAATGCTAGAGGAGGTGTATTGATGATTTATATGGAGAATCGTGTACAATGTGAACGACACACACACCCCCAACACACACCCAAACCCCAGTGTTTGTGTACAAAATGGATGACCCCCCTACTTCCCCAGAACAAAATGGGTGACCCCCCTAAAAATCCACATCACACACACCCACACCACCCTACCCTAGCCATAAATTATGAACGGTTCTTAAAGAGAATTTGACTGACGATAATATTACAATTATCAATGGACCACTTGTGATAACATAAAGCAACTGGTGGATCCTGCAGGACTGACTGAGTTTAGTTTTACGCCGATTTTAGCAATATTCCAGCAATATCACGGCGGGGGACACCAGAAATGGGCTTAACACATTGTGCCCATGTGGGGAATCGAACCCGGGTTTTCGGCGGGACGAGCCAACGCTTTAACCACTAGGCTACCCCACCGCCGCTGAATCCTGCAGGAAAGAAGACTTTGTTAATAAAAGGATAGTTAAAGAGCTCATTGTCCTCCACGTACAAGTCTTCAGAGAGCATCTGGGGTTTTCCCAGTCGGAAGCCCTCCACGATGGCGTCTTGCACATTCTCATCTGCGATTTCCTGGAACGGCACCAGCCCCCGTGTCATCAGCTCCCACATCAGGACCCCAAATGACCACTGCAGACAAAAAAACAACTGGGATTTAGAGGATGCATTCGCTTAGTCTGGATGATCATTAATAAAATATTGTTGGTTTGTTGTTTAATGCATCACTCAGCAATATTCCAGATCTAAGGCGGCAGTCTGTAAATCTTTTAAATATTGTTTGTTTGTTGTTTATCACTGCACTCAGCAATATTCCAGCTCTATGGCGGCAGTCTGGACCAGACAACCCAGTGATTGACATCATGAGCACTGATAAATGTAATTGGGAAACCATGGCATGCGTAACTACTTAAGCGAGCCTGACCACCCGATAATGTTATTCACCTCTCACGATGACATGTGTCAACCCAGTCAGCAAGCCTGACCACCCAATCCCGTTAGTCGCCTCTTACGACAAGCATGGGTTAGTGAAGACCAATTCTAACCTGGATCTTCAAGGGTTGTTTAAATCTAACTCAAAATGGTAGAGTGAGTGAGTGAGTTAATATTTAACGTCACATCGGCAATATCTCAGCCATATCGTGACAATCAAAATGGTAGAATGATTGTGTGTAATAAGTCACAGATATTTGCTCATGTGAATCTTAGTGATTCTCACTGATGTAATGAAATGCCCAGCTGTTGTTGTTGTAAATGTCACACTGAGCAATATTCCAAGTATATGATAGGAGTCCTTATAAGTTGTTCACTGGTCTCGAGGGGGATATTATAGGGCTGATTTACCCTTGATGTTTGTTTATGTTCCCTGAGCTCGAAGGGTGAGGGGAACATAAAGAAACATCAAGCGTACATCAGCCCATGGGCCCCGAGGGACCAGTGAACAACATATTTATCTTACCGCACACCTCATTGGTAATTTTGAACTGTTTGAAGCACGGGTATCGGATCATAGTATGGTGTACCAGACAACCAGACAACAAGAAAAACAAATTTAGAGTTATCTCCCTTCCATCGATTTGCATTTGCAAAACATCGATAATTTACTTACATCATATGTGATTCAATGTTATTCAAGATAAAGAATTACTACTACGAAGTACCAAATGAGTTCGGCATTCCCAGCGGAGTACATAGAAAATGCTACTCGCTTGTAAGCAGGTCACATTGAAAATTAATAGAAGAGCGCTCAGCCAATCAGAAAACGACATTTATGTGTGAGGCAAGATAAATGTAAATAATTGATTCTGGACCAGATAATCATTTGACTGATGCTGTGACTGGTTTGACTGGTCCAGACAAACTATTTAGTGGCATCCATGGTATGGATGGAATATTGCAGTCACTCACTCATTCACTCACTCACCCACACACTCACTCATCCACGCACTCACTCAACCACACACGCATGCACGCACTCATGACATGCTGCAAAATCATCATTAACAAAATATAAGTAGAATATCAGTGCACTAACCACATCCGACTTGCTGTCATAGAATCCAGTACTTAGACTCTCAGGGGCCATCCAGCGGACAGGCAAGTATCGATCTCTCTGGCTGTCGTACATGTATTCGTTTGGATAGAAGTCCCAGGAGAAAGCCGCATCAGTGATCTTCACCCTCCCTGCTGCATCCAACCTTGAAAGACATGAAGCTTTATATATCAGTGATGCGTTACATGACTACAAAAACTGGTTGTCAGGACTACCAATATGCTGTACTGGTAGCCATATCTACTTGCATACAGCAATGCTTTCCAGAGTTGCTTACATACACTACTTATTACCAGGTAAACTTGCATACATTACTGGTAACCAGGTAAACTTACATACAGTACTGGTTGTCAGTACTACCTACATACAGTACTGGTTACCAGGTAAACCTACATACAGTACTGGTAACCAGGTAAACTTACATACAGTACTGATTACCAGGTAAACTTGCATACATTACTGGTTACAAGGTAAACTTGCATACAGTACTGGTTACCAGGTAAACTTGCATACAGTACTGGTTGTCAGGTGAACTTGCATACAGTACTGGTTACCAGGTAAACTTACATACAGTACTGGTTACCAGGTAAACTTACATACAGTACTGGTAACCAGGTAAACTTGCATACAGTACTGGTTACCAGGTAAACTTACATACAGTACTGGTTACCAAGTAAACTTACATCCAGTACTGGTTACCAGGTAAACTTGCATACAGTACTGGTAACCAGGTAAACTTACATACAGTACTGGTTACAGGGTAAACTTGCATACAGTACTGGTTGTCAGGACAACCTACATGCAGTTCAGGTATCAGGTCAAGTTACATACAGTACTGGTTACCAGGTCAAGTTACATACAGTACTGGTTACTAGGTAAACTTACATCCAGTACTGGTTACCAGGTAAACTTGCATACAGTACTGGTTACCAGGTAAACTTACATACAGTACTGGTTACCAGATAAACTTGCATATAGTACTGGTTGTCAGGACAACCTACATGCAGTTCAATTATCAGGTCAAGTTACATACAGTACTGGTTACCAGGTCAAGTTACATACCGTACTGGTTACTAGGTAAACTTACATACAGTGCTGGTAACCAGGTAAACTTACATATAGTACTGGTTACCAGGTAAACTTACATACAGTACTGGTTACCAGGTAAACTTACATACAGTACTGGTTACAAGGTAAACTTACATATAGTACTGGTTGTCAGTACTACCTACATACAGTACAGGTTACCAGGTAAACCTACATACAGTACTGGTTACCAGGTAAACTTACATACAGTACTGGTAACCAGGTAAACTTACATACAGTACAGGTTACCAGGTAAACTTACATACAGTACTGGTAACCAGGTAAACTTGCATACAGTACTTGTTACCAAGTAAACCTACATACAGTACTGGTTACCAGGTAAACTTACATACAGTACAGGTTACCAGGTAAACCTACATACAGTACTGGTTACCAGGTAAACTTACATACAGTACTGGTTACCAGGGGTGGTATTCATAAAGAAACTAAGATTTTTCCTAAGTCCAAACTTAAGTTTTTTTAAACTGACTTAGCTAAGTCTGAGACTTAAGATGCTATTCATAAAGCTACTAAGTCAGAAACTTAGCTAAGTTTCCAAAGACAAACTAAGTTTTTTTCGTAGTGCATACCCGCGTGATCACTAGGGTGAATCCGAGTTATTTTTAGACTTCCGGCGGAACTCTTTTATAAAAAGGTGTGAAAATGGCTTTCGTTGGGATCTCCTTTTGCTATTTACGGCAGACGACACATTGAGATACCGCGGTAATACATTGTGAAAAATATGTCGGAGTCTGAGATAAGGAAGAGAAAACCTAATTGGACTAAAGACGAGGTCCTGCTTGTGACAGAACTCGTGAAAACAAACGTCAGAGTGTTGGAAGGGAAGTTTGGTCCGGGCATGACGTCGGCAAAGTGGCAAGAGGCGTGGCAGGTAATGTAAACATTGGGTCCGACTGTCAATGTGTAGTCAATACAGAAAATACAGAAATGTCTTAGACTACGTGCCACATAGTTTTTATTCGTTTTGAATAAGTACGATTTTCTGTTCTCTTTTCTGAATTACATTGGTACGCCTATGAAACAGCCCAAAATGCATCAAACACTGGAAAAATGTAGTAGGTGTAGGTGATGATTAGCCGAGGTCACACGACAAAGGAAAGGAACATGTATGAACGAAAAAGTTTTTTTAAGCGAACATGACATCAATACAAATAAATAGTTTGATGAGGCTACAGCATGTAGTGTCAGGAATATTTGTAAAATTTCCTGTGTTTTGTTTACTAACAATGGAAAATTTTTAAAAATAGGAAATCCTACTTTATAATTTTTTTAGGAAATCCTAGTTTATAAATATATTACTAAATATGAAAGCTTTGAGTGATATCTATTAAAGGTATTATCATCATAAGTGTAATCAACTTTAGAACAATTGATTTCAAGAATATATGGAAAATTTAAAAAATAGGAAATCCTACTTTTTATAATTTTTTTTAGGAAATCCTATTTTATCAAAATATCCTTTCTCCCAAATGCTCTGCCTCTTATTTCTCCACAATCATAATGAATATAGTTGATTTCTAACAAGTTATGGTCATGACATAGTAATTCATAAGCAGATAGTAACATATGTATATCATAATAAAGGTTGACAGTTTTCATTCAATTCAACAGGTTATTACAGCAACCATCAACTCCGCTGGTCTGCATCCCAGATCTAAAGAAGAGGTAGAGAAAAAGTGGAAGAACATAAAGAGTCAATCAAAACAGAAGTATTCTGAGTTCAGCAGAATGACTAGAGGAACAGGCAAGTACTTTTCTTCAGTTCATATATCCTGTATATGAGTCACGGGTATTAAATGATATCTATCAGTCTTCTGTCAATTGTCTTAACAAATAAGTTATTACTGATGGATCAATAATCAGTAACAATCGTCCCTGTGTTTTTGTTGTTGTATTTCTTGTATGAAGGGTAATATTTAAAAAATGTGATCCTGAATGGAATAGTGATTGTCCTATTCCCTATTCCAATGAACATATATATATGAAGTTATTTTAAATAAAAGAAATCAAATTAATGATTGTGATTAAATTTTAATGCAGGAGGTGGACCAGCACCAACACCAATCAGCCCAGTGACCGATGCTGTCATTGACATTTTAGGCCAGGACAATGTGGCACTGACAGGTGTGCCTGGGTCAGTCGACTCAACAATGCTGCAGGGACTTGACTTGGTACCAACCGATGACAGGTAAATATGAATGATATGAGGTACCTTTTGGTTAGAATATCATCACCTCACTTGTGCATAAATGTGTTCATACATACATGTATTTTTGGTATGCTTTAACTGCACTGTCTGTTATGATAAATATATGTAATGAACAACTGTTATTGTTTTTTTTTATATCTAATTGTAATAACACGAAACAACAGGCTTGTTAAAATTGAAAGAACATTTATATGAAAATTACATGCACATTTCTATCATTTTATTTTTAGACAGATTTATGAAGCCATGTGTGACCCCCCATCCACAGCCAGAGGGAGCCAGAATGGGTCCTGAGGAGCCAGCAGTCCATCCAGATGCTCCAAGATGCCACACAGTGGAAGCTCTGTTAAAACAGAAATTGCAGCTGGAAATAGAATGCCTCACATTGAAAAAGGAATACCTAAAACATAAAATCATGAAACTGAATTAGCTTAAACTGCCATAAATGTACTTGCTGAAAATCAGAAATATTTACATATTTGGGTATTAGGTGTATCATTCTCTGTCTAATATAAGGATAAAACAGATTCTGTTAGAAAAACTATTGTGGGGCCTTTAGCCAAACAGAAATTAAATTGTCAATAGTACACATGAAGATAAGGGAATATACAATATTACAAATAAATAAAGCTATCGTGTAGAATGTATTAATAGTATGAGTGATTGTTTTGGAGAGGATTGTCTGTATTAAATGTAATAACATAATCTACCATTTATAGTTCTAACTCTGACACTATGATAGAAGATCCTAAAATCATCTTACATGGAAAGTTTGTATTGGCGAAGTGCTCTCTACATCTCAGTGCAGCCACTGGTGTAGTGATTCCTGGTAGACCTCCATTCTGCCCATCATGCCTTCCAAATCCATCATGCCCATCTGTGGGTGGTATTGGAATGTTTCTGTCCTTGCATATGTTGTGAAGGACAGCATATGCTATGATCACCTGAAATATGGAATAATTAGTGATAAATGGAAAATAATAAATTTAATTACAAAAGTCAGTATAGACATGGCCATGCAGTATACATTTTGAGATGATGAACTACTGTATTGCCTTTTACATATTTTCAATAGCATCAGTAAATAGAAATTCATGATAACCCATATCATATTCGTGATATATACCGTAGTAATATATATATGTATATAGTTTCATATTTTCAGTGATTCATACATCTTGCAAAATTGTAATTTATTAATCATATTGCCATTTAGCTTTGTTACCTTGTCAATTTATTTGTATTATTTATGTGGCAAGTAAACAGTGCTAAAGAAATAACTGTTGTTGATTATATTTTTCTTACCTTGCAAGCCTTCTCAGGTTTTAACCTGATTTCCCCATGAAGAACAGGAAATCTGCGCTTGAATTGGCCAATGGCCCTTTCAACACTGCTCCTTGTTCTTTTATGCGATCTGGGTTATGAAATAAAATATCATAAACCTCCAGCACAGTAAAAACTGTTTGTGTTGTCATTGTAAACTGTCACTTATTCAGTAAATAACTCTGAGAAAAACCTAATAATACAGTAACACTTACATAGATTATTTAGGTGGTTTATGATGTTTTAAGAAAATAATTTCTAGTCATATTCAGCATACTCATAAAATGTCTACAACCTGATTACAGAATTTGTATTTTATGAAAACTGTATTTTGCTTCGGTTATCCAGGCTAAATGTAATAACGTTTGTGATCTATAATGTGTAATGAGTACGATTGCTCAATGTTTATTCGAGGTAAATACAAGGGACACCACTCTATGTTGCTGGTCACAATCGGCAACTTTACACGGAAGTTTACATACCTGTTGTAGTTTGTTTGTGGTCCTGCCAATGGCCTTAGGAAAGGGGTTAGTAGCCACTTCTTACAGGGGTAACCGCTGTCACCGAGAAGGTGGCATCCGATGGGGACAACATTATGGTCGAACAACTGGTAGAGACCGCTGTTGGTCAATATTCGTGAATCGTGTGCCGATCCAGGCCACCGAGCGACAACGTCAATTATCCTGTCTTCGCTATCGAAAGCGATCTGTGTATTGATGCTGTGGTAGTGATGCCGGTTTACAAATTCATTTTCATTTACTGTTGGGGCTTGAATCTGAACGTGCATTCCATCAATCACCCCCACAACTCCGGGAAAGTTTGCAACCTGATAAAAGTTGGTCTGGTGACGCCTGATGTCACGAAGTTGTAGGGGGAAGCGAACGAAATGTTTGACAATCCTGTCAGATGACAAACTTCGTATGCAGTCATTCACAGCTCTGGAAATGGTTGGCTGGCTGACACCTTGATCATCCGCATTGCACAATTGAAATTTTCTCAAGTACCTCAATGTGATGAGCGTCTTTTGTGAGGCATCCAGTGCGTGGTTACAGGTGGTTGTGGGCTCAACGTCTGGCGCTATTAGACTGGCGACGAATCTAATGCCATTCCCATCTGGACGGTATCGCCGAATTAATTCTTCATCGCTGTATTCAACGAGACTTTGTCTTCTTTGGTGAAATGAACGACGCCTCAGCGCTACGGCAGCCATATTGTTTACTGACTTAAGTCAAACATCTTCCAGTTAAGCCTACCCCTGCCCAGTCTTAAGATTTAAGTCGGAAATCGCCAAAACTTAAGCCTAAGTTGCTTTATGAATATGACTTGAGTAAAATCTGAAAACTTAAGTCAGAAAAAGTGAAAAACTTAGTTTTTTCAAAAACTTAAGTCATATTTCAGACTTAAGTTCTTTTATGAATACCGCCCCAGGTCTTCTTACATGCAGTACAGGTTACCAGGTAAACTTACATACAGTACTGGTTACCAGGTAAACTTACATACAGTACAGGTTACCAGGTAAACCTGCATACAGTACTGGTTACCAGGTAAACCTGCATACAGTACTGGTTACCAGGTAAACTTACATACAGTACTGGTTACCAGGTAAACTTGCATACAGTACTGGTTACCAGGTAAACTTGCATACAGTACAGGTTACCAGGTAAACTTACATACAGTACAGGTTACCAGGTAAACCTACATACAGTACTGGTTACCAGGTAAACTTACAGACAATACTGGTTACCAGGCCTTCTTACATACAGTTTGTGGTGGCCAGGTGTATCTACATACAGTTTCTGGTGCCAAGTCTACTGACATACAGTTTCTGGTGCCAAGTCTACTGACATACAGTTTCTGGTGGTAAGTCTACTTACATACAGTTTCTGGTGCCAAGTCTACTGACATACAGTTTCTGGTGCCAAGTCTACTGACATACAGTTTCTGGTGGTAAGTCTACTTACATACAGTTTCTGGTGCCAAGTCTACTGACATACAGTTTCTGGTGGTAAGTCTACTTACATACAGTTTCTGGTGCCAAGTCTACTGACATACAGTTTCTGGTGCCAAGTCTACTGACATACAGTTTCTGGTGGTAAGTCTACTTACATACAGTTTCTGGTGCCAAGTCTACTGACATACAGTTTCTGGTGGTAAGTCTACTTACATACAGTTTCTGGTGCCAAGTCTACTTACATACAGTTTCTGGTGCCAAGTCTACTTACATACAGTTTCTGGTGCCAAGTCTACTGACATACAGTTTCTGGTGCCAAGTCTACTGACATACAGTTTCTGGTGGTAAGTCTACTTACATACAGTTTCTGGTGCCAAGTCTACTGACATACAGTTTCTGGTGGTAAGTCTACTTACATACAGTTTCTGGTGGTAAGTCTACTGACATACAGTTTTTGGTGGTAAGTCTACTTACATACAGTTTCTGGTCGTAAGTCTACTTACATACAGTTTCTGGTGGTAAGTCTACTTACATACAGTTTCTGGTGGTAAGTCTACTGACATACAGTTTCTGGTGGTAAGTCTACTTACATACAGTTTCTGGTGGTAAGTCTACTGACATACAGTTTCTGGTCGTAAGTCTACTTCCATACAGTTTCTGATGGCAAGTCTGCTTACATACAGTTTCTGGTCGTAAGTCTACTTACATACAGTTTCTGGTGGTAAGTTTACTGACATACAGTTTCTGGTGGCAAGTGTACTTACATACAGTTTCTGGTGGCAAGGTCCTTGTGCACCACATCCTTAGAAGACAGGAAGTCCATCCCCTCGCACACCTGGCCAGCTAACTCCAGCAGCTGCCGTAGCACAAAGTCCTGCATGGAAAGGATGACCACAGATCAGCACATGTAACTCTACTTCTGTCCTGTTTAAGGTCCTGTAGCTTAGTGGTTGCCTGGAGCCTGGCATTAATGGGTACAACAAGGACTGGTCGGCTCGGAGTCAGTATAATGTGTCTGAGTGGGGTATTCATGCTTCACTGCGGCATGGTATCTCAGTGGGCTAGCACTATAAAACCAGCTTCAGTCTGGGCTACTACAAGCAGCTGCACATACACGTACACACGCATGCATGTCGTTATATGAGCGAAATATTCTCAAGCACGTAAAACCCAATTTCACCTCACCTCACCTCACCTCACCTGTGGTTGAAGTGTTTGATTGTTACACAGAAAACCCGGGTTGAATTCCCCACATAGATAATATGTGTGATGCCCATTTCTGGTGTCCCCTGCCGTGATATTGCTGGAATATTGCTGAAATATTGATGAAAGCGGCATAAAACTAAACTCACTCACTATTTATAAGTATTACCTTTTTGGAGTCTAAGACATGGTCTTTAAGTGTCCTGTTCTCCATATAAGGGTAGAGAATATAGAACCGCCTCTTGTCCAGCCCAATTCCCTTGATGGTCAACAAGCTCTCATCATCATAGGGCTTGAAGCGCAGACACTCTCTCAGTGCTGTTGTGTACAGTGAGGATAGAACGCCAGAGTCTGGAAAACAAACATGAACAGACCATGGCTTTTAAAACCCTTTGAATCCTTTATCCTTAATCCTGAATCCTAAACTCACACCATCAAGAGCGATGCTCCTTACTGCCAGCACACAAAAGAGTACGAGAATTTGAACGTCAGTGACAAAGTGTAAACCCAAATATAATGTGTTAAACATGGACAATCAGCCATTGTTTAATTAGTTTAAAATCAATTAATTATATGATATTATTGCTTTATCTTCCTACCAACCAGGATTCTTATGTCAGATTATATTATTAGTTACCGCATTCTAGATCTTTAATGTGTGACAGTGTCTCACCTGGCAACAACATGTAATTGAAGCACACCTGGCAACAGTGTGTGACAGTGTCTCACCTGGCAACAATGTGTGACAGTGTCTCACCTGGCAACAACATGTAATTGAAGCTCACCTGGCAACAATGTGTGACAGTGTCTCACCTGGCAACAACATGTAATTGAAGCTCACCTGGCAACAATGTGTGACAGTGTCTCACCTGGCAACAACGTGTGACAGTGTCTCACCTGGCAACAACATGTAACTGAAGCACACCTGGCAACAATGTGTGACAGTGTCTCACCTGGCAACAACATGTAACTGAAGCGCACCTAGCAACAATGTGTGACAGTGTCTCACCTGGCAACAACATGTAACTGAAGCGCACCTAGCAACAATGTGTGACAGTGTCTCATCTGGCAACAACGTGTGACAGAGTCTCACCTGGCAACAACATGTAACTGAAGCACACCTGGCAACAATGTGTGACAGTGTCTCACCTGGCAACAACATGTAACTGAAGCGCACCTGGCAACAATGTGTGACAGTGTCTCACCTGGCAACAACATGTAACTGCAGATCACCTGGCAACAACATGTAACTGAAGCACACCTGGCAACAATGTGTGACAGTGTCTCACCTGGCAACAACATGTAACTGAAGCGCACCTAGCAACAATGTGTGACAGTGTCTCATCTGGCAACAACGTGTGACAGAGTCTCACCTGGCAACAACATGTAACTGAAGCACACCTGGCAACAGTGTGTGACAGTGTCTCACCTGGCAACAACATGTAACTGAAGCGCACCTTGCAACAATGTGTGATAGTGTCTCACCTGGCAACAACATGTAACTGCAGATCACCTGGCAACAACATGTAACTGAAGCACCCCTGGCAACAATGTGTGACAGTGTCTCACCTGGTAACAATGTGTGACAGTGTCTCACCTGGCAACAACATGTAACTGAAGCACACCTGGCAACAATGTGTGACAGTGTCTCACCTGGCAACAACATGTAACTGAAGCACACCTGGCAACAATGTGTGACAGTGTCTCACCTGGCAACAATGTGTGACAGTGTCTCACCTGGCAACAACATGTAACTGAAGCTCACCTGGCAACAACATGTAACTGAAGCTCACCTGGCAACAACATGTGACAGTGTCTCACCTGGCGACAACATGTAATTGAAGCTCACCTGGCAATGGATTTTTCAACATCTTGATGGTGAGTTTCTCCATTGGTTCAATCTTGGACCTGGCTGTAAAGGTCCCATCAACTAATCTGGCATGGTTTCCTACAAACAAATAAATATGGCATTTTAATCATTTCAAACTTGAAGACTGAGAATATGTTTTCCTAAAATAGAACAGTGCTGTAATAACAACATCATTTTTCTTCATATACCTGAGAAAGTTTGGGACCTGGATCCATTACATGAAGTACTAATATGAAGGTAACTCCCATATGTTTTACGTTCACAAGTTCCAGCACTCAGAGTGAGTGAGTGAGCTGTGTTCTATAGTATTCAAGGGAGAATTTTCGTTTCGTGTTTTCTTCCACGAGTCGAGTTTTAATTCAGTTTTTTTATTGTAAGTTTTTGTACCGGTAGATATCCTTGCTATACCATTTGCTCTGAAAGGTGAAAAACATCGATTTAGTAACATAGAAGATGTAGCTAGTGTTTTGCACAGCAAAATATACCCCACACTATAAATATTTGTTAAACCTGTTGAATCAACGCAACAAGATGGGTTGAACGCAGATGGAACAGTATTCCAGGAGATTCCAATGTGTCAGTTTAAGGATAAAGGAAAGCCTAAGTGTTAGAAGAGACAGTGTGCTAGGCTCAACCTTCAAATGGATAAGGCTATTATTTTAATGCATGGATGGGTGGGTGGTGAATGGATGAATGGATGGATGGATGGGTGGGTGGGTGGGTGGGTGTGGATGGATGAATGGATGGATGGATGGGTGGGTGGGTGGGTGGGTGGTGAATCGATGAATGGATGGATGGATGGATGGGTGGGTGGGTGTGTGGATGGATAGATAGATGGATGGATGGATGATGGATGGATGGATGGACCCTAATAATTTCTTGATCCATACACAATAACTGAAAGGCCTATTATCGCCACTTCCAACCCACCTTTAGCAGAGCACACACTCCCAACATTGAAGTTCTTCTTGCCAATGACACAGGCTTGTACTTTGGTGCGGATGCTCTCCTCCACTCTATGCAGGAAGTACTCAGTGTTGACAACCTCATCCTTGTCATGTTCTTCAGCATCTGTACCATCAAACGCCCGGTTGGTATACTGATTGATTCTGGGGAACGGGGTGTATGTCCGAGCGGGCTGGATCAGTTCGTGGTCATCACTGACCGGTCTGCCTGTAGCAACACAGGCATGCATAGACACATTACAACTGTCATAAATGGTAAGTTTACTTATGTATTCAATATGTCCTGAAGCAAGTCAAAATAATCTTGTTCTGAGTATCTGGCTGACCTTAATAATTTCTTGAGTGGTACTCATTGCTCATTAAAAAGCAAAGAGCACACATGGAAATGTACCTCTATAATGAAGTTAAGGAACAACCAATGACAATACAGACAAACTACAGTAACATGAAAGAATGGGTTGTTCTTTAAATTCTTTAGAGCAGCATCGATACCAGGCAGTGTGCAAAAACAAGGCGTTTTTTTCAAAAGAAAGAGAAACAATGAAAGTTACTGACACCCCAAATGCTTCAAATATGCATTAAAATCCCATACCTCATTATACTGAAAAAGGTTCATCCAAAAGCATGTAAATATGACAGACAGGACAATTGATGACTAAACCAAATGATTTCTACTCAGTAATGGTTTAATTATATTGCAAAGTAGTTTTCATATCAGTAGACAAAGCAATGATAAAATTATTTCGTGTAACATTCTAAACTCTATAAATGACAATTCTATAACAAAATACCAAAGATTCTAAAACCGATGTATGATACTTGTATTTTGCCAAACACTGCATCATAAACAATATTATTATTTTTTTTTTTTTAACAGATTAAGGATGAAAATGCAGCAGAGAGGGTTCGCATGATCCTGGCAAAGTCAGGCTGGTAAGGCTCATCATCAGCTCAAGGCCCTCGCCCCCTCTACACGCAGCACAGACAGCGAATGGGACTTCTCCCAGGAAACACTGCCTATTGGAACCCACTAAGAATATGAAGGCTCTCCAACACTGCAGCCTTCTGCATTACCCAGAGTGTCAGAAGGGCTGTACTCCCGGTGGAGAACCCGGGCACTCTCCTGATCTGCGCCAAGAGATCAGAAAGTACCAAAGTAAGGGCACCGAGTACAATTATTATTATTATTATTGGATATTTATATAGCTATCCTTGCACTAGTGCATGCTCAAGGCACTGGTATTTTTTCCTCGATCATTGGATGTCAATCTCAACGGCACATCTTATTATCAATCTCAGCTCCCTGGGGATCATACAACTCTTGCTGCCACAAGGTGCACCGAGTTATTGCGGCTTTCCCATTCATCATCGTACAATGTTACACAATTAACCACTGACTCACTCACTGACTCACTGACTCGCTCACTCACTCGCTCACTCACTCACATATTCATGGTTGTAAGAATTCAGTACCGTACCATTATTTTCTGTCAGGGGAGTGATATTCTTTAATGGCTCGCTCATTTGTTTCTTGCGGCTGCGGCGACGTCGACACACACAGATACAGATGAGCAGGGTGATGAGGGCGATGATAAAAACGCCGCAGCCCACCATTATGTAGACAAAATACTTCGTCAGCCAGAACTGTTTGTAGTAGATTTCTCCCACATTCACTTCTCGAGCTCCGATAAACAGCTGGTGTCAGAGCAACAAAAACATATGGTCAGGGAATCAAATTTAGTTGGTATTTTAAAAATACAAGAAATACAGTTTTTATCTTATCTATATGCTGAATCAGGAAAATAGATAGCACTGAAGAATACAGAAACTTAAGAATATATATACTTTTCAAATGAGAGACAGTGAGTTTAGTTTTATGCCACTTTTAGCAATATTCCAGCAATATCATAGCAGGGGACACCTGAAATGGGCTTCACACATTGTACCCATGGGGAATCAAACCAGGGTCTTTGGCGTGATGAGCAAATGCTTTAACCACTAAGCTACCCGGGCACTGCCCCTCAGATACAATGAGGTAGCACAGAGGTTAAAGTGTTCACTCAGCATTCCTAAGGCTTGGTTCAAGTCCCTGCATGGGTACTAAGTGAAGCCTATTTCTAGTGCTCCCAAATATGGTATTTCGGAAGATTGCGAAAGTTTTGTAAAACCAAATTCAATTAACATCTCTCCACCACACAATACATATGACATAATTCTCGATCAGATGACTTTGACCTCAACCATCCTAAACTATTACAGTAATAAACAATTTATTACAATTTATAATCAATTCATGAAATATTATTGACCATATATTACACACAAGACAATTAATATGTGCATTTATAATGTGTTTAACTCCATTCACTAGGTGAATGCTCATAGCACTACCCAAATCTTATTACCCCCGATAATCCCGCTAGAATGTTAAGAGTCACATGAGGGGCGGTGGGGTAGCCTAGTGGTTAAAGCGTTGGCTCGTCACGCTGAAGACCGGGTTCGAATCCCCACTTGGGTACAATGTGTGAAGCCCATTTCTGGTCTCCCCTGCCGTGATGTTGCTGGAATATTGCTAAAAGCGGCGTTAAAACCAAACTCAGTCAAGAATAGTCACATGAGCCCACTCGTACAAGATACATTTGCATAATAGACCAATTAGTGTGCTAAGAACGAACTACTTATGTAACCAGTCTAGTTTTGGCTCACGAAACCAAATTTTGATTAAATTTTCAGGAGAATGGACCTGCAGAGCATGTGTGTATCTGGCAACATCCAGAGTGTTCCTACCGACATCTTGTACTTTCTCTTGTCCATGGTAGAAGTGACAGGCGGGGAGCTGGGAGGCTCACACTCGATGCTAGTCTCTGTAAAACTGGTGATGGGGCAGTCAACATCATCACCAATGACGACCCTGTAGTCACGTCTGAGACAGTCTGTGCCGATTCTTTCACCCTGCAACAGTAATTTAACATTCCATCAGGGGGATGGTGATTGGAGGGGAAAACAGGGAGATGGTGATTGGAGGGGAAAACAGGGAGATGGTGATTGGAGAGGAAAACGGAGATGGTGACTGGAGGGGAAAACAGGGAGATGGAGATTGGAGGGGAAAACAGGGAGATGAGACTGGAGGGGAAAACAGGCAGATGGTGATTGGAGAAGAAAACAGGGAGATGGTGATTGGAGAAGAAAACAGGGAGATGGTGATTGGAGGGGAAAACAGGGAGTGGTGATTGGAGGGGAAAACAGGGAGATGGTGATTGGAGGGGAAAACAGGGAGAGGTGATTGGAGGGGGAAACAAGGAGATGGTGACTGGAGGGGAAAACAGGCAGATGGTGACTGGAGGGGAAAACAGGGAGATGGTGACTGGAGGGGAAAACAGGGAGATGGTGATTGGAGGGGAAAACAGGAGAGATGTGATTGGAGGGGAAAACAACAGGGAGAGGTGATTGGAGGGGAAAAGGGAGATGAGTGATTGGAGGGAAAACACAGGAGATGGTGACTGGAGGGGAAAACAGGGAGATGAGACTGGAGGGGAAAACAGGGAGATGGTGATTGGAGGGGAAAACAGGGAGATGGTGATTGGAGGGGAAAACAGGGAGTGGTGATTGGAGGGGAAAACAGGGAGATGGTGACTGGAGGGGAAAACAGGGAGATGGTGATTGGAGGGGAAAACAGGGAGTGGTGATTGGAGGGGAAAACAGGGAGATGGTGACTGGAGGGGAAAACAGGGAGATGGTGATTGGAGGGGAAAACAGGGAGATGGTGATTGGAGGGGAAAACAGGGAGTGGTGATTGGAGGGGAAATCAGGGAGATGGTGAGATTGGGGATGGTTAGAAGGTGATTAGAGGATATGAAAGAACAGGGAGATTAAGAACAAAGGAAGATGTGAAATTAGGGAAACAAGGTAATGGTGAGATTGAGGACACAAGACGTTTGCCTGTTCGAGGATTTTGTCAAATCATCTCTATGTGAGAGGCACATGGGACCAGATGATTAAAAACGTGAACTCAATGACTTTTATGATGACGGAACAGATTCCATTGGTTGGAATAACCTGTGCCAAAGACAAGGACACTGAGTTTGAGTTTATCATGGAGGCTGACTTTTGAGTGGTTGCTTTATCTGAATGCATCAGTAAATGATTTGTAACTTAAATATGATAAATATTAATCATTATTAAGGGTAACAATTTTGTATTGCACCGTGTCAACACAAACTGGCACTGCTATAAACACGACACAGCAACACAGATAACAACAACAAAAGGCAGGCATGTTTTTATTACAAACGTAAGGATAACGCATGCATCATTCCACTTCGATTAAGGTGAGGTGAGGAGAAATGGGGCCTAACGTCATACTTGTGAATATTTCACTCATATGATGGCGTGTATGTGTGTGTATGTGTGGCTGCTTGTACTAGCCCAGGCTTAAGCTGGTTTTATAGTGCTAGCTCATTGAGATACCATACCGCAGTTAAGCATGAATACCCCACTCAGACACATTATACTGACACCGAGCGGACCAGTCCCTGTTGTACCCATTAATGCCGGGCGCCAGGCAGGGACCAAAAGTACCATATTTTAACGTCTTTTGGTATGACGCAGCTGAGAATCGAACCCAAGGCCTTCCGCTCTCTAGGCTGTCGCTCTAACCACTACACCACAGGGGACGGGGTAGATGAATTAGCACTAATTTTGAAGGCTTGTAAAAGGGAGTCATCTTATAAGTGGGGTCATACTATACGCAGCAATGCATGGTATACATTCACTCGCGTGCTCTGTTTTTAGGTAGGAAGTTAGGATATACAGTGACAAGACGACTGGTTGTATTCTCCACAGGGAGTGTTCTGTACTCATTGACCAGGGGTAATATGTCAGCGCTTTGAGCATGCAATGTGCATGGATAAATGTGCAATATAAATGGACTATTATTATCATGTATTTTGCAACTTACCATAATTGTTATAGTTTTTTCAAACGGTGGTGCAAATTCTAAGAAAAGACCTGTATTAACCACAGCATCCTGCATCAGTGTGAGATTCAGCCGTTGACGTCCAAGATAGTTGTCGAATAAAACGTATACTGGGGCCACACTTCCATTCAGACCAACTGCTGCAGGAGTTGCACATTTCATTCTCTTCCCCGAAGATTCTGGCTCACAGTACTGTAACAGGCAAGAAAAGTGTATCAGGAAATAAACCTACATGTTTTGAAATTTGATACCTTTGATTTTCATTAAGAACTTGTTGGTCTTATTTCCATGAAATCAACATGACATCTCTAATTGTAGGGTACACAGGTTGTTGAAATAGAGACAAAAATGCTAAACATATTTATTCACAATGTTTCTTACTTTGCAGCTGCACTGATGTACCATATGTTATTACTGAGGTCTTAAATAACTCCTTGGTAGGAAATGACCCTTCTATATCCTGAAGGGTGGGTAGGGACTGACCACGTGATATTCTGGTGGGAGTATAAGGGAACCTGCAGTTTTTTTGGTTAAAAACAGAAATGGATTTAAAAAATGCATTGTGAAAGACTACGTATCTTGTGATCATGGTTTTACCCCCAAATTTAACTATTCATAAGTTAAAAAAAAATTCACAAAAATTGTTGGTGTGCTTTAAGCAGTCATCAAATAAATAGCCTGTTTTGAAAAATATTTCCAGGCCCCTCACAGTTTATATATTCCCTGGGCGGTGGGGTAGCTTAGTGTTTAAAGTGTTGGCTCGTCATGCCGAGGACCTGGGTCCGATTCCCCACATGGGTACAATGTGTGAAGCCCATTTCTGGTGTCCCCCGCCATGATATTGCTGGAATATTGCTAAAAGCGGTGTAAAACTAAACTCAGTCAGTCAGTCACATATTCTCAGTGAGTTCAATCCTTACTGAATACGATTCTTCTCCAGAGGCATTGACCATCATCCTCGGCTTGTAGACGCTGTTGAGATTCTCCCCGGCCAGAGTTACGTAACATCCACCGCTGTAGAGAAAACAGAAGTTTAGGATCAGACAGAAAAACAAGAAGACATGGTTATCAATATCCCCCGCCACAGTGTTTTGTTCCTATTTGGTTCCTGTTTTTTAACTCCATCACGACATTCAAGTGCTGAAAACACATACCACATTTGGTTTCCCCATCTATAACGGTTTCTGAGAAAATCTGTCCCCATTGGGGATGCTGTGCACTAAGTCAAGAGATGCATGACAAGGGCCATAACTCTGTAACAAATTGTAACACGGTTTCCGTTTAAGAATTCCATCACGACATTCATGTTCTAAAAACACATACCAAATTTAGTTTCCCTATCTATAACAGTTTCTGATTAAATGTGTCCCATTCGGGTGGGTGGGTCTGGGGGGTGATGATTTTAAAGGAGAGTCACCCATTTTGTTCTGGTGCAATTTTGTACATGACATGCAAAGGGGGGTCGCTTAATTTGTACATAATTCTAAGGGGCGTCGTTCACATTGTACATGCTTCTCCATAAAAATAGTCATCACCCAGTATAGCCATAAATTATGAATGGTTCCTTAGTGTATGTTGTTATTTTCAACTGCTCACCAAGTAACACAAAGTGCAACGTTATACCACAATACCTTTGAGCAGCTGTTGCCGAAGTCGGGTTTTCTGCAGCCAATCTGGGGTTTGGTTTGTAGGTATATTGAAAATTATACGCTAATGGTGAACTGGAATTCCAGGTAACAGACAGAGTTTCAGATGTAACAACACCTTTTGCTGGAATGATGATGATAAGCTGAGTATCTGATCTGGAACACAAAAAAGATTGACACTAGTACATGGCTCTTCATGAACAGCATCTGGACGAGTGAGTGAGTGAGTGAGTGAGTGAGTGAGTGAGTGAGTGAGTGAGTGAGTGAGTGAGTGAGTGAGTGAGTGAGTGAGTGAGTGAGTGAGTGAGTGAGTGAGTGAGTGGGTGGGTGGGTGGGTGGGTGGGGTGGGTTGGCCACACGCACGCACGCACTCACTTACTCATTCACTCACTCACTCCTTATATCACACAATAACAATATTACCTACAGAAAAACCAACATCGCTTATGCAATCACGTTTGTTTCATGAGAATGGGACCTCGAACCAGATATCCAATGTGCCCTTGCATGTGTATTTGACATTGGTGCCACCAGGGAGGCAGGATACATAGAAGATACTAAACGACCTTCCATGTAATACCATTTTTATTAAACAAGTTAATGATTTGGTATGAACGAGTGAAAGCGAGTTTGATACTAAATCTTTCACGAGTTAAATAAAAATGGTATTTCACTGAAGCGAGTTTAGTATTCTGTGGGAGGAGGGAAGAATTGGGGGTCAAACCATTTGAACTCTTCCCTTGGATCCGCACATGATGTGGGTTTGAATTCCGGATGAGATTCAACTCAAAAAGTACCAGAATCTGTACTTTACTAGGGAAGTGTAGTCCCAAATATAACATATGTCAAATACTGAAGGTATGCTGGGGGCAAGTAACATTTCAGGAGGGTTATTGCTACATGTAACCACCATTTGTGTTGGTCGGCATTCTCAGTTACTATCCATGGCCTAGATTTTCGAAGCTCTCTTAGTGCTAATGTAGTCGTAAGTTAATGTTAATGTATGGCACTTACGACTATCTTAGCGCTAAGAGAGCTACGAAAATCTAGGCCCATCCCAGTAAATTGTTATACTCACCCAGTAGCAATAAGGTCAGTGGGTCCTATAGTAACTGTACTGTTCACCAAGTAATGGCCAGTTATTGTCACCACGGTGCCACCAATCACTGGCCCAAACAGAGGCACCACATCTGTCACTGATGGAGTCTGGAAACAAACCAGAAACATAAGTCTTATTTATCTTCTGTTGCTTTTATCTACATTTTATAATTTTGCAGTATCAATATAGGATAAGTCGAACTAGATTAAAGACAATACAATTTGAATGCAATTTGCAGGGCTCGATTTAACAGATGTTTACCTACTTGCACCAGGTGCAACCTAACATAAAAACCTAGTTGCACCAGCCAAATTCTAGTTGCACTGCTTTTATTGCAATATTTAATTTAATAAATATACTATGAATTATTTAGATGTTTTATTCAGAGTTTACCTACTCAAAAATTGAGTTGCACCTGGTGCGAGTTAGACAAGTAACTAGGTTGCACTTTGTTACATTGGGTTGCACAAGTGCAAGTAACAAAGCACTAAATCGAGCCCTGATTTGTTTTAGCATTCACTCTTGAGAGTGTCAATCTTCACATCCCCACACACTCCTTCTGGATCTGCCCCTGAACATATATGAGAAACACATTAACAAAAACATTAGCATTTGTAAAGTTTTATCGATCACAAATCTTATAGGATATCCTAGTACTTTGGAATAAATTTTAACTGAACACACAAACTCAAACAGTATAAGCTACGACTGGTGTTTTTATCTTACGCAAGTTCTGTTGGTGAAATCATCCCCTCGACACTGACACTGTCCCGATGAACCCTTGTCACACGTTGTGTTTGAGGTCCCCATCGTGTGACACTGACACGGGGAGCATCCAATAGCGTTGTTCATACTGAGGTCATAGAACTGATCCTTGCATTGACCACACTGACGATCTGGGCAATACAAACAGTACCATGATATAGCCATCTGTAGTCTGACATGAATGCATCATAACATATAAAAGTAGAAACAAATGTCAAAGATATAGAAACAGCTGGGATATAATTTGCGTGTGCTTAGATTGAATTACAGTGAAAAACCCATAATTTTCTTGCCCTGATGGGCTTCCATACATACTACTGACTGTAAAGCTGTGCCAATCTACACTTATAAGAGGAATACACAACATGTACGCGATCTACACTACCAGTTGTCCGACTTCGATTTTTGTGGAAACCATAGAGGCTGAGTGGGTTAGATTGCTGACTTTGCTGGCAATTAGGTGCCTCACTCTGAAAGAGTGGGTTTGAATCCTGGATTCTTTACTTAACTGGAAAATGTGATCCCAAATATAACATATATTACATTGTGACTGTAAGAAATAGAGATCCATGTCAAACTATTTGACCACTTCCACCATTGAGGTTCACTCAAACAACAAGCATCTACTTAAATGACAAGGAGCCCAAGAAGACTGAACCCATGCTTATTGTGAGATGACTCTTGGTGGATCGATTGGTCATGCTCGCTGACTTGTTTGAAGTGTGTCATCATATCCCAAATACGTAGATAAATGCTCATGACATCAATCACTGAATTGTCTTGTCAGTACTCAATTATTTATACACAACCTCTCGAATACAAGCGAGTCCGGTAATTCTGCGCGTCAGGTAATTCCGGGCAGCTGCAAAAGCGTACTTCCCTATCGAAGGTAAACATGGTCGGCTACCACATTTACGCTTGAAATCGGGACATTTCTACAAGGCACTGGCTTCTAATCACTTCAGGTAAGTAAATAACAGTAACTGACACATAAATGGACATTTTATGAAAATTTGTTTTCTTCAGACTTTAAACCTTTTTCTTCATTATTCATAATTGGATTTAATATGAAACACTCTTCCTTACATTGATGAAGTGATTTTTTGAAAATAATCTGGCCCTAATACGCTTCCATACTTCGGATCTCCAGCTGTTATGCGCATCAGCAAGCGATGTCGTCAGAACGCCGGTAAGGTCAACCATATGGCATAATGCTACGTTAGAATCTTATAGTCGTCAATAAAACTTATATTTCTAGGTAAATATGATGCATACCAGCATGTTTAGTCACGTAAACCACAAAAAATAAGAGACGTTAGTTGCCGTGTTGCGATCGATGTAATAATAATAATAATAATAGTCCATTTAAATTGCGCTTTATCCATGCACGTTGCATGCTCAAAGCGCTGCCATATTACCCCTGGTCAACGAGTACAGAACACTCCCTGTGGAGAATACAACCGGTCGCACTCAAGGTTCAAATTCAAACCACCATCGTATCATACCCATTTCTGGTGTACCAATTTTACTGCTGGGTGGACAGAGGCAAGTTTGAACAAACTCACTTGCCTAAGGTGAGACCACATGTATCACATATGCTTCGTTGTGCTGCAGGACTGAAGTCCTAGAAACTCTCAGGAGTCAAGCTGCCAAACACGGTCACCCATCCGAGGACTGTCCGCGACCACCATTGCTTAACTTCAACTGATTCTGACCTGAGCTCTACACACAGGACCACACACCGCCACATGTGCTTAGGTTTGCGGAATTACCGGACGGCATTGTAACTGTTTTGAGTGTGGTATTAAACAACAAACAAAAAATTACAAGAAGTTGAAGATGAACTCTAAGCTGGATCTTCACTATGAAAACCGAAGTTGCTTGAGGATACTGGCTGTTTGAATCTACAGATCCTTTAAAGACACAATGTCACACCACATTTCTCTAAAAATACATAATGCATTTCTCTCAATAATATTAATTATCAGCCCTCAGGGAAGCTACCATATAATGTATATTAATAAAATTACGCATTTAGATTACAATATTAAGTTAAAAAGTTCAAATGAATTAATGCAGTGTTGCATTCATTCTACTCTCGTCCCCTCTACTGGCCAAACACTATTTCCAGCAAACTAAATAGAGTTATGTCCCTTGGGGCGCTCCTTACGAATATACTATGCACAACTTGTGATGGAAACCAGTTTGGCAAACACAGACAACCCGGCAAGTAACAGTTTTTGATGTACGGAGCAATTGTTTACATTCCATATATGGCAAGTGTTATCTGTTTGGAAGCTGTTCGCCTCGAGGTTTCAATTATCAATTGCAGGCAAGTCGTAAGGGATAATAAGTCTTCCATTGCATCAATAAGAACGTAAAATGAGTGCATATGTCCAAAATATATAAAATATAGGTCTAACCATTGTAAAAAATGTGTGACATTGTGCCTTTAAACTTATTTTCTTATTAAAATTTACAGATCAGTGTCATATACAGTAATTTCAAATGCTGTGTTCTTATGCGAGGGAGAAAATTAGCATTCCTTTGGAATTATATAACACATTACAATTATCTTACCTTGAACATTTTGTTTGCAGTCACACTGACCAGTTCCGACATCGCAGACCAAACCACTAGCCTCTTTAGTTCCTTTAGTATCGCAGAGACATGGCAAACATCCAGTCTGAGGCGTCCAGTAGTGTTTATCCTTGCATTCCGAACAGTTGGAGTTTACGACATTAGTCCTGCAGTAACATTCCCCAGTTTCGTTGTTGCAGGCGGAACTGCCTCCAGCATCACAGGATGACCTGGTACAACCCTCCGGGTTGCTCTTAGTGATGTTATACGTCAGTGGTTTGCACGTGTCACACCGTGCTCCTGCCACGTTAGACTTGCACAAACATTGTCCCCCAACCTGAAACAAAACAGTTAACTTGATGTAGGTTGGATACTGGAAGGATTTTATCTTGGTATGCCTTGTCTTGTCTCGTTTAGAGTGAGTGAGTATGGTTTTACACCACTTTTAGCAATATTCCGGCAATATCACAATGGGGGACACCTGAAATGTCCTTCATGTGGGGAATCGAAGACGGGGCTTCAGCATGACAAGCAGATGCTGTAACCATGAGGCCGCCCCACCACTCTGTCTCGTTTAGAAGAAACACAGGATAATTAACGTACAAAACTCGGGGATTTAGAACTGTCACTGTAACTTGGCTCATGTCAGGATTCCTCTCCCACATCAAGCTGATTCTCTGAGATTAAACTGAAATGTTGTTGAAAGCGATGGTAAACCAGATTCAATCTTGATTTATCTACCAATGAACATGGCTTTGTTTCATATCACTTGCAAATCTATCTATCTACATATCTATCAAAAGAATAGATGGATATGGAAAAACAGTTAAAAACATTTTGGTTATAGGGCCAGTTACTGCTGTCATTCTCAGTCAGCATTGTAACTGTTGCTCATGCAGATACTTCGTTCCTATGGGTCCATTTTTACAAAGGGTTCCCAGCAACATGATGCCATAGGATCACTTCATAGCAAATACCATGAATACACAATGCCATTTAGAAAGTGGTCAAATGTAACATTTATATTTGGGATTACACTTTCTTAGTAAAATACAGATTCTAGTACTTTTAGGCTGAGTCTCATCCGGGATTCAAACCCACACCCTCAGAGTCGGGCACCTAATCACCAGCACACAAAGTCAGCTGCCTAACAGCATTGTGTATTCATAGACCGCCTCGGTGGTGTAGTGGTTAGAGCGTCCACCCAGAGTGTGGAAGGTAGCGGGTTCAATCCCCGACCGCGTCATACCAAAAGACGTTAAAATATGGTACTTGTTGGTCCCTGCCTGGCGCTCGGCATTAATGGGTACAACAAGGACTGGTCAGCTTGGAGTCAGTATAATGTGTCTGAGTGGGGTATTCATGCTTCACTGTAGCATGGTATCTCAGTGGGCTAGCACCATAAAACCAGCTTCAGTCTGGGCTAGTACAAGCAGCCGCACATACACATACACATACACACGCATGCACGTCGTCATATGAGCGAAATATTCTCAAGCACGACGTTAAACCCAATTCCACCACCATTGTGTATTCATAGCATTCGGCCATGTTAACCATGCCAAGTTACACTATCAGAGGGGTACACAAAGTCCACAGTCTAGACCACCAGTTGTCTGACGTCCATTTTTGTGGAAGCTGTGGTGGTTGAGTGGGTTAGACTGCTGAATTTGTGTGCTGGCGATTAGGTGCCTGTTTAAGAAGCACCTAGAACCTACCAGTATTACATTACTTACCTACATCACATACAGAGATCATCCATGATTCTTTGTTCATACATTCATCTTTGACTTTTGTTAGTCTATTGTTTAACACCGCACTCAGCAATATTCCAGCTATATGACAGCAGTATGTTAGTAATCCAGTCTGGACGAGACAATCCAGTCATTGTGATATGATGATGTGTCAACCAAGTCAGCAAGTTTGACCACCCGATCCATTTAGTCATCTCTTACAACAAGCATGGGTTACTGAAGATCAGTTTTTTTAAAGTGGTCAACATGGTCATTAATATGTCAGCTGTAAGAGGGGGATCTGTAAATCATCCAGACTGAACTACTGGCAAACAAGGATAAGTTGAGTACCGACCTCACAATTGACCCGTATTAGCAGGTATAAGTGCAGCCCACTCTCGCTTGCCATTGTTAGCTAAGGGGCCCCAGGTTGTCCACGATCAAGTGTAGTGCTCGGATGTGCCTCAGTGAAGAGAAATAAACCGGCAGCATTGCTAGCTTTTAGTAGATGTACATTCTTTCTCCATGTACTTAATAACATTGTATGCCACTTGTCGGGTCTGAGAATGTATTATCTGACCATGCTTACCTAACTTTGACATGTTTAATTCTCTCGAAATATATATCTATATATCCGAATATTAACGACTTGCTACACCAACCACATGAGAGTCTTATGAGCAAGGCATGTTCAGCTACACACTGAATCAATTTCGTCGTCATGCAATGCACGTGCACTAGCCTACATCTGCTCTACCTTTCACAAACCAAATGGGTTTGCTCCTTGCCACGCACCGCCTACTTCTCGTAAACGCGTTCTCTGCGCCGGTCCAACTTATTCTTGTTTGCCAGTAGACAATCCTCTGATTAGCCTGGATATTCAGGTGTAAATCTTTAAGTAACCATGTGGAACTAGATGAATTTCTCTTACCGTTTCACAGTGCCTGGTAGCATTTCTGCCGTCAGCATCGCAGTCACAACTCTGAGTACATCCAAACCCAGTTTCCTCTCGGTAGTAGCCATTGTCACATGACCTACAGTGGTCACCTTCAGTCTGATTGAGACACATACATGTGTAGCTGGCACTTGATCCTGAGGTCAGACTACATGTTGAGGCTGCGCCGTCACAATCACACCTAGCGCCAACAGTTAATTAAAACATTAATACTGAAAAACGCTATTTGTCCAGACCCTATCAATCCAGGAACCTTGTCATCTGAATGCTAGTTTGGCTGAACCTATGGCCAAACGTTACCTATACATGAGGGGTGGAAATAACCCATTGCCCGACATCCCAGTCCAGTGTGTTTTTCTGTCGGGCAAGCAAATTTGTACATCACACTGTACAGGTGTCCAGTTGACTTTCCAATGTTAATTATGTTGCTTATTTAAAAAATTAACAAGAAAATCAGCCGGTACAGTGGAATAATTATCAGGGCAAGTGATTTTACACGTGCCACTGTACCGGAGTACACTAGCAATTTTAAAGTTATTTCCACCCCTAACATGGATTAATGTGTAAATTTGTAAATTTGGGCAATTTAACTTTATTCAGATTAATTTTAGCTAAATAAATGGGTTCACTGTACAAGGATGATTTTGGATTATGTGCCAAATGAACAAAGTACAAAGCAACTTTAGCACTACGACTTTCATATGTCTGTGTTAAGGACTGGTAGTTACAATCACTTTAGCATTATTACGGTCGCTTTGTACAATGGCTTCTAGTTCTAATAACTGTCACAACAGGGTTCAAATCTTACGGACGCTCTAATAAAGATCTTTGTTTGGTCAACATTGTACTAATGTTGGTGGGCTTCACCAAAGCGGTAATTGTTGAATACCAGCGTTAAGCTCTGACGTAACTGAAATAATGTTTATGCTGGCATTAAACCAAATTCACTCACTCACCCAACTCACTCACCTAACCATTCACCCACCCACTCACTGACCCATCCAAACACCACCAACCCTACCAAACACTCACTCACTTCACCCGACCACCCACCCTCTCACTCAATCACACACTCATTCACTCAATCATATATCCATGGTTATGAGAATTAAGTGTCGTACCATTGTTCTCTGTCAAGAGAGCAATATTTTTCATGGCTTGCTCATTTGTTTCTTGCGGCTATGGTAATGCCATCGACACAGTGCGATGAGGGCGATGATAAAAAACCCACCATGATTACTCACTCACTCACTCATTCATCATACTTCTTTAGTGACAAAGACACTCACTTTCCTGAGATGGTGACACTTGAGATTATCAGGTTTGAAACAGATCCTGAGGATCTTTCAGTGATTTTCATTTCGATTTTCTCAGCAATTGTCTCACCAAAGGCTTGATAATCTGGTGGTGTGGCACTGAAACACATAATGGATGGTATAAAACTAACACGTAAATGTATTAAACACTGCATCAGTACTGGATGAGTGACATTTGTCCACTTTCTCAATGGCATTTGTGTTGATAGCTTTTGATTATGGGAGCAAAGTCTGTGCATGGGTTGTCCGACTTCCATTATTGTGGTAGCTGCGGTGACTGAGTGGGTACGGTGGCTGACTTTATGTGCTGGCGACTGGGTGCCTGACTCTGAGAGTGTGGGTTCGAATCCCGGATGGGTCTCAACCCAACAAAAGTACTAGGATCTGTACTTTACTGACAAAGTGTAATCCCAAATATAACATATGGTACATAGAGTGTCATTATTTACAGATGCCAATATTGATGAAATATTGCGGAGTGGGGACATAGTCAGCAAAGACACAAAAAAGCAACATTTGATAAATGTTAAATGTACAACACTACTATAAGGCCTCTTATTAGTTATCTTTTACTGTTCAGATGAAAAATTCTTTCATAAATATCGGGCTGGTTAGGGCCACTGATCTGTGGCACATCTGACCTTTTTGTCCTTTTGGATCATGTTGGACAAAAGGAAACTGTTGATCGTCATATTGTCAACCTTCAATACATCACTAGGAGCGGTGGGGTAGCATAGTGGTTAAAGCGTTCGGTTGCTCATCATGCTGAAGACCCGGGTTCGATACCCCTACATGGGTACAATGTGTGAAGTCCATTTCTGGTGTCACCCGCCGTGATATTGCTGGAATATTGCTTAAAACGGCGTAAAACTAAACTCACTCAATCACTCAATACATTATTGGAGCTGAATATATTTTTTGTGACATCAAAAGTGTCCTCCCTATAAATAAAACTGCCAGATGAGACTTTCATGCATAGTGTATTGAGGTAGCCTAGTGGTTAAAGTCTTACTCATCGTACCAAAGACCCAGATTCGATTCCTCAAATGGGTATAATGTGTGAAGGCCATTTCTGGTGTACCAAGCTATGATATTGTTGGAACAAACGCTTTAACCACTAGGCTACCTCACCACCTCTGACTTCTAATCTATTTTTGTCCTACAATATCCCATGCAAAATTTCTGATGAGGCGTCAAACAATATTTATTCACTCATTCCCAACAATTTCTTTAATGTGTCAAATTTAAAACAAATGATTAAGGGTTGTGATTTAAGTGCAAAACTATAGCATAAGAACTTGAATTACTCTATTAAGGTGTCCCAACAGTATCCCATCTTCAATGTGTCAAATTTAAAACAAATGATTAAGGATTGTGATTTAAGTGCAAAACTATAGCATAAGAACTTGAATTACTGTATTAAGGTGTCAATTTTACCCGCATGCGCAGTATTTGGAAACATATGGCATAGCGACCATATTGTATTGTTGAACTCTACTAAACAGCTGAGGTACCTCTTTATGTGAAGCTGGGTTGAGTTCAGTGTGTACCGAGATGAGTCCACCCTACTCTTCTGATCATGTGACTCAAAGCTCCATTCTGTTCTTGTGGGCGACGAACCATTGGAACTAAATGTTACCGTTACTTCTGTTACCTGTAACAGTAACACCTTTAGAGATGAGTATTGACTGATGGGATATACTGCAGTATGTTAGGAACAGTATAACAGTATATAGAGGTTATACTGGAATCGTAAACATTCAGCAGTGAAACCTGCCAACATCGGCATTTGTCTAATCTTGCAAAACCGTCAAAACCGGCATAAAAATTTGGTCCCGCCATTTTACAAAACTATTAACATTAAAACATTGTCTAATCCAGCACCTGTCTATTCCGTATTCCGGCATGACTTTCCGTTCCCAACAAGCAATTTTAACTGTAATTAACACTGTCTAAACCGGCATGGGTATGAGCAGTCCATAACCCATAAGCCAATACACTAAACCTCTTGGCACACTAAATAATCAGGAAGAAGTGATTGTGCAATGTATCAAACGTTCTGAGCCAGCAAGGATATGGGCAGTCCAATCAGGGTCCCTTAATCCAACACACTTCTCTCGGCACGTTAGACTGAGAGACTGACGAGTGTAAATGGTAGCCATGTTGGAAAATGATCACCACTTGTCTAATCCAGCACCCTGTCTCAACGGGCATTTTATTTCGGTCCCATGGGGTGCCGGTTTAGACAGGTTTCACTGTATTTAGCAAACTGTGTACCAAGGCACTACGTCAGTCATACTAAACCTGACACAAATATACCCAATGCAGACCATGCAAGTCTAGAATATGAGGCAAGTCCAGATTACCACAGTTCCTGAAATGAAGAAAGTCTCTGGGCTCTTTTTTATTATATTATATTAATATAATTTTGGTACCGTTATATGTAAAATATGTTCATTTCAGACACTAGATGTTAGTCGAAGATTTACTCAATACTTATCATTAAGATAAGGCTCTACCTTAAGATCTCACAGCCCTGGGCCTAGATTTTCAATGTTCTCTTATCGCTAAGATAGTTGTAAGTCAATGTTAATGTATGACACTTAAGACTATCTTAGCGCTAAGAGAGCTTAGAAAATCTAGGCCCTGGCAGGTGAACTTTCTTTATCAGCCAATCAGTGGCAAGGCCTCTAACTTCTTTTTATAATCAAGTGAGGCAATTAGAGAATGGGAATAACTGACCGAGTGAGTTTAGTTTTACGCCGCTTTTAGCAATATTCCAGCAACATCACGGCGGGGGACACCACAAATGGGCTTAACACATTGTGCCCATGTGGGGAATCGAACCCGGGTCTTCGGCTTGACGAGCCAACGCTTTAACCACTAGGCTACCCCAACGGAATGGAAATGAAGCCCAATCATCATAATTTAGAAAGTTCACATCTCAAAGGCTGAAGAACATTCACTCTTTCATTTAGACTGGGAGATATTAATTAATTCACCCAGGATTCAAATGACAACACCTCCTATACTGGGTGGTAGATAGTCATGCATCAGGATATTGTATCAGAGTAAAACATCTTCTCTTAATGAGACTGGAAAAATTAATAGTATGGATTTTCATACTGATTTAACACAAACAAATTTTTAATATTTTTTAAGTTGTATTTTTTTTTCAAACTATTGACATTATCATCTCTTTTGTGCCTTGTTTTAATTTCTGTCTTGTTTGGATATATTTGGGGCATTTTGTAGGGTGCTTATTGAAGACATTTTTAAAACCTTACCTGGAAGGAGCTCTGCAGATCAAACATGATTGTGACATCTCCAGTTGCTTTGGAAACCCAGTTGTATGACGGACTATTGCCTAGTACACCATTAACACCACTGAATTGTTTTGTTAATCTTCTGATATTGCTTCCAGAACCTCCTGAACACATGAGTTCATCAGTTGAAATATCTGGTTGTGACACTGGGCATCGACACTCTGACTCCAATGATACTGATGTGAAGGTACCAGTAAAGAGCTCTTTAATTTCTCTGGTGACAAAAATGGCACATAAATAAGTAATACAAGATGTGTTGTTATAGTGACTGATTTAGTGAATTCGGTATTTACGCCGCCTTTAGCAATATTCCAACAATATCACAGCAGGAAACACCAGAAATGGGCTTCACACATTGTACCCATGTGGGGAATCGAGCCCAGGTTTTCGATGTGACGAGCGAGTGCTTTAACCACTAGAAATAAAATTGGTCTAGCCTTATGTGTTATATCTGTGAATGTGTTATTTCTGTGACAGAAATAACACATAAGGCCAGACCAATTTTATTTCTTGTTTTACAGATTTTTGTCCTCAGAAAAACTAAAGGCAGGAGGGAAAAAAATTAAAAATATAATCACCAATCAAAGTAATATTCCTTGTAAATACCAAACGTATTTTATTGTTGGCAATTTATGAAGTGTATATGGGGCAGAAAACAATCTAAAAAAAAAAGGCTTGTAAGTTTACATTTTTGTCCAATAAAAACATGAGCATTTTATTTTTTGAGCAAGAACAATGAGTTTTTTTGGTTTTTTCATATTCTTGAATAAATACGATCCGTAAAACAAGAAATAAAATTGGTCAGGGCCAAATACATACTACAAAATGTGTTATTGTGACTGATTGAGTGATTTCGGTTTTACATTGCTTTCAGCAATATTCCAGCAAAATCATGCTAGTGACACCAGAAATCGGCTTCACACATTGTACCCTTGTGGCAGCGTTCAAAATACCTGCCTGCCTGGCTGCCTGGGACGGGTTATTTTCAACACGGACTGCCAGATTCACAAATTCACAATGAAGATATTCATCATATTTCAGGATAATAAATCATTATTAACTCACTCGTAAAAATAAATCCTGAATTCCAATTGGATGATAAATTACGTCACTTGTCAAACCTAAATTATTTGCGGGCAGGTAAGTTTTGGTCAGGGCTGGCAAGTTTTACATCTAACCAGCCCTGTGGTCTGGCTGAAATTGTTACCTTGCCTGTGGGGAATCGAACCCGGGTCTTCAGGATGACGAGTTCATGGTTTAACCACTAGGCTACTCCACCCAAGTGTTGTTATATAATACATACATGATCCATATAATGAGTGAGTGAGTTTAGTTTTATGTCGCTTTTAGCAATTTTCCAGCAATATCACCGCAGGGGAACACCAGAAATGAGCTTCCCACATTGTACCCATGTGGGGAATCAAACCCAGGTCTTCAGTGTGACAAGTGAATGCTTTAACCACTAGGCTACCCCACCACCCGTGATTCTTATATGACATCTTGAAAGTAATGTTTGGAAATAACACACGATACGTAGACAATCATATAGAGTATTCTGGGTAAGATTGTAGGTCTTTAGCAACCATGCCTGCCTTGAAACGTGACTGAATGGATCACATGGGAAGGCCCAGTGACTTTGTTGATGCTCATGTTGTCACTCACTGGATTATATAGTCTAGAATAAAACATTTACAAACCACCTTCATATATCTTGAATAGTACTCGGAATCACACAATAACAAAATATCAAAGATTGAATTCCCTCTATACTTCCCTCTTACCTGCCTCAGAATATTATAGTTCCAATGTACCCTTCTTTCCTTAATTGGGGTGGTTGGGTAGAACAGTGGTTAAAGTGTTTGCTCATTATACCCAAGGGCCTAGATCATTTTCCCAACAAGGGAACTATGTGTGAAGCCATTTCCGCTGATTCAACTTGCTAAATAATGCTAAAAACAGTGTAAAATCATACTCACTTATTCGCCCACTCACATATTCATTCTTCAATTGAAGAAACTCTACATTTACAAAATTACTACCAAACGTTTTTGCTACATGTGAATTGCACAGAGCAGGCTGTGTACACAGAGGCCAGTATCATTTTCGTGAAAATACAAATAACAAAAATATGCCTCTATCCCCCACCACAAAAAAAAATGTGTAAAACTATACGAAAATCTGAAAATAATTTATTGCATCATACTGTTGAATGTTGCATTCCATTGCTTCCTTGTATGATTTATTTATATAAGCTATGGGGGATATCATTGTTTGAGTCAAGCATAAAATCTTCGAACATCAACTGCACCTCAAGCTTTGATCAAGGTTAAATCGTTTGGCCTTGTCTTTATGCATGTAGAGTATCCTACTTGTTTGGAAATATGCCGATAACTCTCTGGTCATATAGCTGGAACACCGCTAAATGGGGGCCGGGGTAGCCTGGTGGTTAAAGTGTTTGCTTGTCACTTTCAAGACCTGAGTTTGATTCCCCACTCGGGTTCAATGTGTGAAGCCCATTTCTGGTCTCCCCGGCATAATATTGCTGGAATATAACTAAATGCAGTGTAATACCAAACTCACGCAGTCACATTGCTGAATACGGTAGCAAAGACCAAACAAAAACAATTTACTACCACCAGTAGTTTCAACTTTGCCTTCAATGTGACTTGCTGTGGATAATATTTGAACACTGTTTATTTTTGTGAACATAAATTGCAATGCAATACGACCCACCTCTTAGTCAGCCCATCATTGTAGAACCTCCCATCCAGCAGCAAGAGGGATTCAGACCCTGTCAGAACTGTGACGAATAAAAAATTTTTTCTTAACATTCAGGAAATTAACATCTCTGTTATGTGATCAATAATACGTCTTCAGTTGACGCTTGTTTAATTGTTCATTTAAGAGATTGAACAGAGTAAGAAGTCACACTGAAGAAATATAGAAGGACCTTGAAGAAATATAGTCAAAAGTTACTTTTGTTTGTATGACTGAACTATATTTAACAACTAGACTACCATCAAATCTTGTATCATCTCTGATTGGAAGATCTGATTTTGATTAACTTAACCATAAATGAAATTACTTTAAAAATCAAAATAACTGACCAAATTAAATATAACAAAATATAATTCAAATTCAAATTCCAAATTCCAGAAAACATTTTCTAAGTAATGTACATATTCGAGTACATTATTGGTTGAGATCCATTTGGGATTTGAACCCATACTCTCAGTGTAAGACGCAATCACCTACCCTCAAGGGCAGCGGCCAAACCCACCCAGTCACTGTGCTTCCACATGTGGAATACATCATCAATAATATCTTAAAACAACAGGAAATGCTTTCAAGATGAATATATATACTGTCAGTGAACAATATTTACCTGTTTCAGGTCCGAGAACCAGGATGGTATTTTGGAGGTTGGGTGTGGTTACTGACGCAGTACTAGCAGTATTGTTCACATACACATCAAACATGGTAGAAGATCTCTGAAATACATCCATTTGAGTAACATGACATTTCTTGCAATTTTAATTATAAACAAACAAACAAATAAATAAATGGATCATTTCATTACAAAATATCGTTTCATTTCCTCAACCTCACTAGAAGTCAATAATTGTATATTATCAACCCCTGGCATGGACTGTTACTCATGTTATCAACCCCTGGCATGGACTGTTACTCATGTTATCAACCCCTGGCATGAACTGTTACTCGTGTTATCAACCGCTGGCATGGACTGTTATTCATGCTATCAACCGCTGGCATGGACTGTTACTCATGTTATCAACCCCTGGCATGGACTGTTACTCATGTTATCAACCCCTGGCATGAACTGTTACTCGTGTTATCAACCGCTGGCATGGACTGTTATTCATGCTATCAACCGCTGGCATGGACTGTTACTCATGTTATCAACCCCTGGCATGAGCTGTTACTCATGTTATCAACCCCTGGCATGGACTGTTACTCATGTTATCAACCCCTGGCATGAACTGTTACTCATGTTATCAACCCCTGGCATGGACTGTTACTCATGTTATCAACCCCTGGTATGGAATGTTACTCATGTTAACAACCCCTGGCATGGACTGTTACTCATGTTATCAACCCCTGGCATGGACTGTTACTCATGTAATCAACCCCTGGCATGGACTGTTACTCATGTTATCAACCCCTGGCATGGACTGTTACTCATGTTATCAACCCCTGGCATGGACTTTTACTCATGTTATCAACCCCTGGCATGGACTTTTACTCATGTTATCAACCCCTGGCATGGACTGTTATTCATGTAATCAACCCCTGGCATGGACTGTTACTCATGTTATCAACCCCTGGCATGGACTGTTACCCTGGCATGGTAATCAACCCTGGCATGGACTGTTACTCATGTTATCAACCCTGGTATGGAATGTTACTCATGTTAACAACCCCTGGCATGGACTGTTACTCATGTTATCAACCCCTGGCATGGACTGTTACTCATGTTATCAACCCCTGGTATGGAATGTTACTCATATTATCAACCCCTGGCATGGACTGGTATTCATGCTATCAACCCCTGACATGGACTGTTATTCATGCTATCAACCCCTGGCATGGACTGGTATTCATGCTATAAACCCCTGACATAGACTGTTACTCATGTTATCAACCCTGGCTGGTATGGGACATGTTGTTGGACTGTTATTCATGCTATCAACCCCTGGCATGGACTGTTACTCATGTAATCAACCCCTGGCATGGACTGTTACTCATGCTATCAACCCCTGGTATGGAATGTTACTCATGTTATCAACCCCTGGCATGGGCTGTTACTCATGTTATCAACCCCTGGCATGGACTGTTACTCATGTTATCAACCCCTGGTATGGAATGTTACTCATGTTAACAACCCCTGGCATGGACTGTTACTCATGTTATCAACCCCTGGCATGGATTGTTACTCATGTTATCAACCCCTGGCATTGACTTTTACTCATGTTATCAACCCCTGGCATGGACTGTTACTCATCTTATCAACCGCTGGCATGGACTGTAACTCGTGTTATCAACCCCTGGCATGGACTTTTACTCATGTCATCAACCCCTGGCATGGACTGTTACTCATGTTATCAACCCCTGGCATGGACTGGTATTCATGCTATCAACCCCTGACATGGACTGTTATTCATGCTATCAACCCCTGGCATGGACTGGTATTCATGCTATCAACCCCTGACATGGACTGTTACTCATGTTATCAACCCCTGGCATGGACTGTTATTCATGCTATCAACCCCTGGCATGAACTGTTACTCATGTTATCAACCCCTGGCATGGACTGTTATTCATGCTATCAACCCCTGGCATGGACTGTTACTCATGTTATCAACCCCTGGCATGGCGTGTTACTAATGTTATCAACCCCTGGCATGGACCGATACTCTTGTTATCAACCCCTGGCATGGCTTAGGTCAGACATACTGGTACATTACAGATTATGGCATGCCTGATCATGATCCTGTATTTAGAATACTTTACACTGCAACAGAAGCAACATTCACATTACTGTTGAAAATAGTCCTAGATAACCTATATCTGACCTCAAGAGTGTCTGCACCTACCTTTGTTAGAACAACATGGACAAAGTCTGTATCTGTGACAGAGGATGACACAGTCTGGGTGTTCACCTGTAACAGGTTACCTCTAAGCTTCACTGTCAGACTGCTACCATCCCCTAGTACAGTGCTGGAAGCAGAACAGATATAACCATAATATTTCATTGTACTTTTCATTCTTTGTAAAGAATATCATATAACTGAGAGGGCTAGTTGGAACAATTTTCTGAATATCATCAAGAGAGTTGTGCAGATGAGTCAAGACAAGACTTTCCAATAAGTGCTTTATTCATGGCAACTAGTGACAACTTTCTTTGTGAAAAACGGATATTTCAATGCAGACACCGATGTGGCACTATTAAATTTGGTAGGCTATTCTTGAAGACAGTTTACAGGTTTGAGTTAAGGTTCACTGGTATTGGCCAGTTGTTGAATACCAGAAGGTCCCTGTTGCTGTCTTGGCTTCCTTTTGTTGTTTTTTTGTTTGTTTGTTTTCTGTCTTTGGAATTGTACACCTGTATTTAGAGGAGTTGGGGAGAATGTGTGTATAGGTGTGGAGAAGTGATTGGAGTGATGGCGTGGGGGCGGGGTGACATGATGTCTACTTACCAGTTCGTACAACTCCCTTGTATCCAAAATGAAATACTGAAGGTACTTGTGGAACCAATGGTCACCGTCGTGTTGACATTACAGGGTGTACTATCATTAGAATTGGTAAAATAGTTACCATTGGCTCCATTAACACCAGCCGGGAGAGAACCTGGCTGAGAGCCACTACACTCTGTCGTACTCGTTAATACAGTCCGAGATGGCAATGTAGTCCTTGATCCACTGCGGCATGATAAAGAACACACTCCAAAAGATCCACACATTTCTTCCGTGATGGTGTTACAACTGTCTGAACATCCGTCCGTGGTTCTCACTAGACTGCTGGCGCGCAAGTCTTGTGGGGACTGGGTTGGAGGTGTATAACTACACCACACTCGACTAACACAGACATACAGTACGACAGACAGGGTCAGCCTGCCGACCGGATGTCGTCTGCTATTAGCCAACTCCATGTTTTGCACTTACTGTTACCAGGCAACAGCTACTGGCACGTGATGTCTCCTTGAAATAGTCACAACATTTCTAAGTTAGACTGGTGAATCTGAAACGAGATAGGTGTGTCTTAGAGAAAATGTAACGAGTGTAAACTTTAGGTTGGTTTGTTGTCAGCAATAGCCCAGCTATACGGCGGCGGTCTGTAAATAATAGAGTCTGGACAAGACAATCCAGTGATCAGTAATATGAGCATAAATCTAAGCAATTGGGATACGATGAAATGCGTCAACCAAGACAGCGAGCATGACCACCCGATCCGTCGTCACGGGTCCTAAACTTTAGGAAATTTCCTATAGTGCTATAGTGCTTACGTACATGTGTACTTAAGAAACGGTTAGACATGTCACAATAGCTATCTTACATTATTGTCATTTGTAGTTACGTCATTTAAATCAGATAAACAAGGTTGTCAAATGTTTTTAAACGACCGACTAACGAGGAAGGCAAGAGCCAAGTAACGCCGTTTACCACTTTGGTTGAACCAGCAACCACGATATGGTGGTATCACACCAGGATTCGAACCCATAATCATAGGTTTCTGGCGTTCCCAAGGGACGCAACTCTGCACAACGAATTGTGGTGACCGAAACCACTGTATTGCTCAAACCGGAAGTCGCCAGCTCGAGAACCATACATGTGCAGAGAGTTCTACCGCGAAAGTCAAACACAAATTTAAACTTCGTGAAACTACTGTTGATTGTGACAGGTAGCCCGTGCATTTCTGCATATACATACAAAATCATATCGGTGCAAGATTGTCTATTTCTGGTTTACAAAATATTGTGCTGTCCAATCATTAAAACGATGAAAGCTTACCTGAACGGAATAGTTGTAACAGGCTAATTTTACTATTTTCTTTCAGCGTGAGAGGCATAGCGAATACCTCCGCTCTTCATACTTGTATAGAAAGTAGGAAAATATACGTTTCAGGCTAGATACACTCACGTTGGTGTAAACATTTCGTTAAACAACTGTACATTTTACATCCTCGTCCGGGGTTCGAAACAAAACAAAGGAAATATAACACACTGGTATTACGAGAAGGGTAGCAAGATGGCTCTCACATCCTTACACAGCAGGGCCCCGTTTCACAAAGCGATCGTAGCGCTACGACAGTCGTAAGTCTATGTTAAACTATGGGGGCTACGATCAACTTAGCGCTACCATCGCTTTGAGGAACGGGGCCCTTTATGTGTTTTACACAATTTAGTTTTGTATGGAGTCGTGACTTCCTCTTTCACATGCTTTTGTATATTTTGGTGTTCGGTGGTTATTTATTCACATAATCTCTTTAAAATCAGATCTAAGGTTTCAGTACTGGTTAACAAGGATCTAATTACATTACCTTCCTGGGCCCCGTTCCTCAAAGTGATGGTAGTGCTAAAATCATCGTTACTCACATACTTTAACATAGGCTGTCGAAGCGCTACGATTGCTTTGAGGAACGGGGCCCTGGTAGATTTCCTAGGTTTTCATGGTACATGGTTCTAATACATTACCACGAGCAAATCCATGGTTTTTTTTAAGACATGCCTCAGGTTAGGCAGCGCACACGAATGTAGTGACTTCATCTATAACTTATTCTGTTTAAAATAGATTGGCCCCTTTCGCACATTTAAGACATATGGTTAAATTTGAAATTAATTGTCAGTCATATGAACAATATATCAATTGTCAGAAGTTTAAAATGTCCCCGTGGGCTTTTGGAAGCCATCAGAATTTATCATTTAAAAAGACGAACTCATTGCAAGGGTCTTTAAACCAAACATCTGACAGCGTGACATACTTCACTGTGTAACAGTTGTCTGCCTAAATGTAAACTGGCACCGGGACAATTAATGTCCCAACAATAGCCTGTCTAATAAAGAGAATTACATTTTGTTGGTACGTCCGTCCTTTTTAAAAATATATTCGAGTTTCGAAAACACGTGTCATTAAACCAGTTTACAAACGTGTCGCAATTCTGTTAATTTAGCGCTGGTGTCTTAAGGGGTCATCTCAAACAAAATGCGGTAAAACAAAGCATATACATGTAAGTAATTACTCTTACGGTAAATCAAATAAAAACATGAAAAGTCAAAGCATACACTTTATACAACGTCATTAAACCAGTTTACAAACGTGTCGCAATTCTGTTAATTTAGCGCTGGTGTTTTAAGGGGTCATCTCAAACAAAATGCGGTAAAACAAAGCATATACATGTAAGTAATTACTCTTACGGTAAATCAAATAAAAACATGAAAAGTCAAAGCATACACTCTATACAATGGTTATATATATTGAATAGCATGTCAATACACGAATTTATACCTTTATATCATTAATATTCAGGTAAAGAATAGGTTTGGAATTCTGTACGAAATCACGTTGGCTGCCATCTCGTAAATGACGGCCATCTTGGATTTTCAGGTTCCCAACGCATTTTGTCGGAAAGAAGACTATAGTCCGTTTGGCTCAAAAGCGGACCGATGAATTGCAATCTAACTCGAAAACTAATAAACATAACAACCTCAATGAAACGCTGATCATAATCAAAACATCATACCCACTCTGTGAGGTTTTTGCAGAATTTTTGTCCTAAAAATAACAAAGTTGTTTAACAATCTATCATTAAAATATTGACACAGTTCACTATTTGTTACGAGGGAGGAGTGCAGAAAAAGGGACAGCCAGGTGTTCGAGAACGGATGGAGACGGCACAGCACAGGTTAATGAATAAATAACTTTGTCTGTGAACGTGCGTCTCGAACACCTGGCTGTCCCTTTCTCTGCACTCCTCCCTCGTAACAAACAGTGAACTGTGTCAATATTTTAATGATAGATTGTTAAACAACTTTTTTGTTTTTAGGACAAAAATTCTGCAAAAACCTCACAGAGTGGGTATGATGTTTTGATTATGATCAGCGTTTCATTGAGTATGTTATGTTTATTAGTTTTCGAGTTAGATTGCAATTCATCGGTCCGCTTTTGAGCCAAACGGACTGTACCTGGACTGATGTTACTGCTGGTATGACCATTAGTTTGACTGTGCCTGTCGATAAAAAATGTGGGGTTAGCTAGCAGTTTTCACAGGTACAATAAATGGCTAAAACGTTTCATATTGATATTTTGTGCCTAACAATTAAGCTTCACACAAATCCAAAATGAAGTTAACCTAGATTATGGGCATGTCGTAGGTAGCTGGTAAGCCCAAAACAAACGTAAGATATGTTACTATATAATGGAATTAGATTATCTAAATTGAGGGGATTTATGTTCATATTTCGACATAATTCAGGATCGTGTGCAACCTCAACATCTATACGCAGTACTGTTCCGGTATATGGTTACAGTTTTGCTGGTTGAACTCATTCAGTTTACTTGTTATCATGTTGACAGCTTGCTTTAGACACAAATGAACGAATTAATACATTTCGAAATGTATATAGGACAACTTATCTATCGCTATTGTCACGGACCTGTTGTGTGAAGTGTGACGCCAAAGGTTAACAGGCCGGTAACTTCCTCACAACATACCCACTCATATACCTTGGCATTGTTGTGGTTGGTTGTGTCGATATTGAATTCCTTATCAGACATTGTTCCTGTATATAAAGCTTGGTGGATACATGACCTTTGGTATTTGTTTGATTTAATCAAACTTTTACATTTAATTCGTATATATACACATGCCAATAATGGTTGTCACCCCCCTTCCAACCCCATCCCTAACCCCCTCTCCAATAAAAAAAAATTGAAGGGGGTGACAACCATTATTGGCATGTGTATATTAGGTACATTGAATTTGTGTTTATTGACTTAAGTTAATTATTATTTATTCAGTACGTTTAGTTTGTATTTTTATGTTGCTCCTATTATATGTATATATCGTGACCTCTTTGTTATATTATTACTCACCAATTTCTAAAATGCCAATTAAACGGATCTGCTCTCAATATTTCACAGTATATCCATCCTTGACGTAAGAGGCGACAAAAGGGATCGGGTAGACTTAACAACTAGTCTCTTAAATGAACACATTTTACAGAAAAAAAGCTCTTAGTTAAAAAATAAAATATATTGAAAAGGAGCCCCGAGACTTTCTTCATTTTCAGAAGCTGTGGAAATCTAGACTTGCCACATTTCTAGACTTGCGTGGGTTACTTGGATATGTTTGCTTCAGGGTCTGTATGACAGTCTAGGGATCGTGTGCTTTGGCAGGCATGTCATCGTATCCCAATTGTGTATATCGATGCTCATGCTGTTTATCACTGGATTGTCTGGTCCAGACTCGAATATTTACAGACGCCACCATACAGCTGGAATATAGCTGAGCGGCGTTAAACAACAAACAAACAAAACCTACCTAATTACCTACCCACCTAACACCCACCTATTTGTCTCTATAGACCAAACAAATAACACCGGAAAAACTGAAAGGGAACGTGTTTTCGTTACAAAGGGAACGCCCTGGTTCGGTCACAATCGCTACCAGGAAATGTTGTGCAACATACCTACAACACCAGTACAACACACTGTCATTGTTCCCTTCTACGTGAGCAATGGCCGTATTCTGTGTGCTTATTATGTCCTGTTGCAACATTCATTGTAAACATACATGGTCAATAATTTGAAAAAATATCCTTCATATACTCTGACGACCTACATAACATTTTATTTCCGGGTAGGTCAGCCAAGTGAGCAAACAAGTTTAAACGTGAATTACACTCAGTGGTACTGGCAGGACCGGCAAGATTGATTCAAGTCGCGCAACATGCAATGTTTATATGTATAAGTTTAAATGTCCATAATTATCTAATTAGAAATTGATCATTCACTATAGGTTCTTGGTCATCTGGAGATTGTACATTGATTTAGTTGATTTCGTGTCATCGTAGCAGGACTGAGTAATCGTTGCTCGCGGCATCAGCCACATTTAGAGTGAGTGAGTGAGGTTTTATGCCGCTTTTATCAATATTCCAGCAATATAATGGCGGGGACACCAGAAATGGGCTTCACACAATGTACCCTTGTATGGCTGAGATGGAAACTCCTCACATCACTTGT